TATATAATTGTTCATATGCGGACAACGGTTAAAAAGTGAAGAGAATTGTATATTAAGTTCAGTGTTATACGTATGAATTAGAACGCAATAAAAATAGAACAATAGAAATTTCGACAATCATCTTTTGAGTGAGACTGCTTCTTATCCTAGCTTTATTTTTCTTCTCGGCTGAATCTTCTTATATATTTCCTTAGAAATTCAAAATCTATGTGCTGGAAATTATACGTTTTAACGTTTTCTAAAATGTTGCGTGTGTGTAGGTGAGAGATTTCAATAGAAATCTTTGTATAATGTTAAAAATTAAAATATCACTGCGGATGTGTGATTGCAAGAGATTAGAAATTTGTAAAAAAGTTTATACTTTCAGGAAACAGAAATGGGAAAAGTAGCGTTTTGGAGGGCATGATGTACTTAATCATCACAAGAATTATTTATTTCATTATTTCATTTCTCATTATAGGCGGTCACACTTATATAAATATAAAATAAAAATCACAATTAAGAAGTTTTATAATGTAAGCTGTTAATACGATTACATAGCTACTTCTACGACAATCACGCGTCAACATGGGATTTATTCAATAATCGTGACATACAGGAACGTTTCACGAAGATCAAGTAAAGGTTGGATGATATAATGAACATCCTATTATATAGTCTTTACCTCTTAAATAAATTAATAGAGATATAGGAATGTGTGTATGGGGGAAGCAGATGATTTGGAGCGCAGGCTAAAGAATCTAAGACGCAAATTCCAAATGAAAAATGAAACAAATGCTCAGGGAACTGAATGATGATTGATTAAGAAGCACTCTTGGCACATTCAATATCAATAATTCGGAGAGCATTATATTAACGGAATATTACGAAATTAATATATGAGCAACCAAGTATCATAGGTGTCTCTTGTCCGCAATTTCTAATATTTATATTGCTTGAGTAAACCATACTTGCAAAAAAGAGAAGTCAACATCTTCATCGTTTAAATGAAGTATTAATGATTTTGTATGTTTGTGTGGGTATGTTGGACACTTGTGACAATACGCACATATATATACAGGTTATATAATAAAATCACAAACAAATATTTTATCTAAAAATCTTTTGAGCAACTTGAAATTTATCTTCTTTAAACAAAAAAAGAAATGGGAATTCTGTGAACGGACGTTTGCCACTGTCAAAACGAAAGTTTGTGTCGAACGTATCGATGAGAACATAAGTCTAGATAAGTCTAGAGGTGTTTCTTCTTATGTTGCGAAAACGATTAAATATACAGCTTTTCGCGGATTCATAACTCAATATGATCAAATATATATACATTTTAATAGTTTACTTAACTTTTCAAGCATACATTCGTTATTTAAATAAGTTGTCCCATTGTTTCTAAAATCTCTCATTTATCACAAAATATTTTCTGTAAAAAATCAAAAATATTAGGAAAGTAGTGTCGAATTTAATTTTTGTTAAAGAAACACCAATTTGTCATTTGTTAACGCTACAATTTTCCACCGCGCTTATCGTCTTATAGTTGGCAAAAAGTCTATATTGTTTGTACGAGCCTTTGATATGCAAGAATGTGCCAATAGAAAAGATTATTGAATCTTCCTCTCTCTCTCTCTCTCTCTCTCTGCCATACACACACAATAAAACAGATCACTTATCATCACGCACGCGTAGTGTCTTTCTTTGATACAAACGCGCGCGAAGTGCTACACCGCTTTGTTTTATCTTAACTGTAGAGTAAGATAACACAAGAACGCGCATGGCACTAATTCTCCTTTACGGAAACAAAATATCCGAATCAAAACCGAGGTATTGAACCGTCAAAAATAAACATCGAAGCAACCGGATCAACCTTGCGTACGTATTTTCACGTGGCTTTATTATATTGCCAACATACAATAATGTTTTTAAGTTTGTAGCGCTATATGTGCACACACACGCACACATGCACGCACGCACGCACGCACGCACGCGAACACACACACACACACACACACACACACACACACACATGCCCACATGCACACGTACGTATACACATAATGAAACTTGTACAATAAAATTTATAATACCGCTGAAATGTACGCATAAAATGCTATTGTGAAACACATTTAAATTTTACGCATTTTACAATTCATTTGGCAGAGAGAAGCTTGTCTACATGGAAGTAACATGATACATACGTAAAAGGATTATAAAGTCTCCCTACTTTTCGAGACATTCTATAAATGTGCGATTTGTCTTATAATTTAGATTCGAAATGCTGATATACGCGACCATTGATTTCGTTTTCAAATGTTAAATAAATATGTACTAATTCACAAGAGAAAATAATCATGTCCAGAATGTGAAGCGCTTCGTCATTACAAATCACCAAACGAATCATGTCGCAATTTTTTGTTGTTCCGTCTGTTAGAAACGGTATATCTTATGACATACGGTGGACAAAAGGAAGGGGCCATGGATAACTAGGCCCATGAACAACATCATTTTCCGTGACAGTCTTTGACTTTGGCATTATTTTAAACAAAGTATAATAAATTTCCCTATAATGTCTTTTCCCATAATATATCCCATTTCATTTTTTCTTCGTTATACATACGTTTTTGGTACGCAATTTGGAACGCAAAAGTAAGGATGAACGCGTATAATTTTTGTTGATCAATTGGAACATTATGCAAAAGAAGGTGGGAAGCAAAAAGGGGTTTCAGGGGATCCAGGTTATTCACGACATATATCGAGAATTCTTCTCTAAATCACGTTTAAATCTATGTATATCCATAATGCAATTTCTATTTGTCCCAAAACGATTCGATACACGTGAAATTACTATTGATATATTGGAATTACAATACGCGTCAATGTCATAGCTATGATGAAACGAAGCATGTTCGTGGGCTTAGCTACTGTGTGATCGTTTCGATCGATTAACACTGTCAGTGTCATTCGCACAAAATGTTGGATCGCTCGTATTCCATTAATTCCTAACGATCAAACAATACTACCTGGGGTACTGCTAAGACCGATTGGCTGAGTATTTTCAACTAACGTGGATCGCATGCTCGATGATGGAGCTTGAGTATCCATTGCTGTTGTTCTCATTTCGCCAAAGGGTGCCCTATAAAGTATGATACTGTGTTAATTTCGTATACAGATATTCCGTTGGTTCTATTAGCATAGCATGGGTTTCTTTTTCTACAAAAAAAAAATCAATACATATCAATATACAGAGTTTTGTTTCTACAATATTTTTATGTAACATTAAGTCCGTAATCAATTGTAAAATATGATTTTGTTTCTTCTACTTTTCCTGCTGGAACTCAGTCGTCAAATAGTGGCAAAATATGATTATAAGCGTATAGAGTAAAACAAAGCACACAAATAAAATGAATGAGGATGTCGTAACCATACTCTCGCGCGCGCACACACACACGCACGCACACACACAACGCCAGTACAGGTAATTGCCAGTACATTACTTAAAAATCATAAACATCATTCAAAACATTGACATGTAAACAAAAAAAAAACAATTTCACAACGATAAAAATTATATGTTTAATGTCAATACAGTAACAAGGTAAACGGGAGAAGAGGTCGACGTAACAACAAGAAATTAATTACGAAATATTATTAAAAGTGGAAACATTGCAACGCATGCATTGTAATACTTGAAATAATGGAGCGCTCATGACAGCTGGAGAATAAATGATGCAACATGCTGGTTTAGACGGTGATGAATAAACAGGGATGAGGTAGTTGAAAAAGGGAATTCAATCGCTGATTGTATAAAAATTTGCGATAAAGCATTGCAAGGCGTTGATTGATTAGAAAGATGCGATATTGAGAGATTAAAAATTGTACGTATGTATATATATATATATATATATATATTATTGCCTGGTTAGTGAAGTGGTGCAATGAATGTTTGAGATGATTTATGTAGGCCTCCAGACGTCAGGATCCTCCATGAGAGTGGTATGGTGATCTGTAGCGGCGGGAGGCACTGTACCCTGTGGGGAACCCACGCCCGACGACGACGTCATTCCTGCCGGGTCGGGCCTGGATCCTCTGTTGTTATGTTACAAATTAGTAAACACTCTTAAAATTATAACACAAGCACGATGAAAGTTTCATATAACGCGACATATATGTCATGTCGCTGCTAAAATATTTTATGCTCAGGAGATAATTTTTTCATAGTGACGATGACAAAGTGAAAATAGAAACCACATTCCCCCTCTTTTTTTCGAATCATTAGTAGTCTTCCTCCCAAAATTGTAAAATCCCTTTGTAAGATATTTTCCCCAACACAAACCAAAGCACAACAGCATTAAAATACAAAGACAAACACAGGACAAAAGGATTGCTCTTTCACCTCAAAGCAAACAAAGTGTGCATTAAACCATATTGAAAAGCATCACCTGATTTTACACAAATGCAATGTCAATGCCGAATAATACGACAAACGTCTCATTAATAGAAAACGACTAATATTAATAATTGGCTGGCAACTTTTGGAAAAATTTCGCACGCTCTCACATTATACTAAATTATATCTTATCCAAGCTCTAGGGAGAAGAAACGTATCACTTACTTTTTACCGAGAGACATCAATCCGTATATTATACCTGTTGCAAATATTAATCCGCTACCAAATATACTAACGAATTCTGCACATAGGAAGACTGCTGGCAACGCTATTCTAAATAGATAAACACGAGAGGAAATCAGTCCTAATGATTATATTGTAATCATCATATATTTCAATATTTCGTAAATCTAAATAAAAAAAGGTAAAATATTAAAGTTTCTTACAGACAATAAACAGCCGCTCTATTCCAATATGGCCTTTTCTCCACCCAGTCGCTTAAATTCTGTACAAAGTCGATGAATAGACAGCAGCATGGTGCTTCGATCATTACAACTAAGAAACCAGCTATCATTTGCCACATACCGCTGAGTAAACAGCCAATGTTACCAAAAAGAATAGACGTACAGTTCCAAGCTCCGAGAAATATTGCAACTGTAAAAGACAGGGTAGAAAATTTCTATATAAATTATTTATCTGTTTGAGAAATCGTTGCCTGGAGGAAAAGGGAGAGAGGGGGAAGTCGATCTCGTGTGACTACGTAGAGTAACGCGCGCGCGCACATACAGGGAGATATATAATCGTAACAATAACACAATAAAATAAGGAGGAAATTCTGCTAAAATAAAATCACAAGATGCAATTTTTACCAGACCTATATCGAATAAGTATTGGGACGTAGTAAACACTTACTTATACTGCCTACGGTACCGAGTCCACGGCCTGCATATTTCATCCACCAAGGTACATCATCCTTGGCAACAGGATCCTGTCCAGGCTTTTGCATGATCGATGCTATTTTTTCACCGAACGACTAGAAAAAAACGCGATGTTACAAACGGATATTGATTCATCGGTCATCGATCGTAGATAATGTATTACCATTTTCGATGTATATTATTATTATCCTTCTGTTCGTCAGCTGAGAGTGCTGACAGCACCGTTGATAGCACACACTGTTGATGCACGAAAAATCGACCCGATGCTTTTCCACCAATGATCACACGAGGGCGCGCTGTATCTAAAAGGGAGAACAGAGGCAGAGGGTAATCTGTGAGGTTAGTCGTTAAGCGACTTGTCATATTCGACGCGCCATCTGCATCTACGTTCATTCGTCGCTCAACACTCGTGTCATTATGCATTTCAGTACAGTGTGCTCACTTGCTCCGCTGCGAGAAACCAATCGACGAATAAATCTAGAAGCGCGAATTCGTTTTCTTTTTTTTTTCAATCAATTCTCAAAATTACACAAAAGCGGCAACGGTAAGATCTCACTTGATAAGATGAAGCGACGATTCCTAGAGAGATGTAAATAAAATTATGTAAATTTATACACACCATCGTGGTATATAAAATATTTTAATAATAGAAACACACATACATACAAGTACACATATATACATTTACAATATACGATAAAATGGAACGAGGTGAAAATTTAACATAAACCAGATGTTGCTTCTCGATACCACCATCATCATTGGAAGATACGGCTCCTTTCTAATCTAGGTGTGCACCATATATTAATCTATTGTTTTTCCATCTTTAAAGTTACCAGCGTTTCCTCGAGTATATACACACACACGGCATTTACACTCGACGTCAACGCGTGTATTCATTTCTTTCGACTTCTCAAATTGCGAGTCGGCAAAAGTGTCGTGGAAACGACTTCCGCTGAATCTTCCATTGGTTCAATATCGGCGAATGAATCAGTAACGACGAATAGTTTCTTTTTACGGGTTGTACGTCTGTTGCCCGTCGATGATTGTCCCGTCGGCAAAGCGATACGTTTTGCGCTGCGTTTCGACTCAGATCCAGATAATTCAACGACCGGTATGTCTTCTTGCTTGACCGACGAAATGGTCTTTTTCCCTCGACGTTTAGGCTGCTGAGCTGCCGCTTCGGCCTCAGATACAGTTTCGGAATAATCTTTAGCTTTCGCACCACCAGCTTCATACTTGCGCAACGCGTCTTGAAGTTCTTGCACGCGCTTCTGCAACTTTTTGTAATCTTCTTTATTCGGCGTCATTTGTCTGCGGAATAGTTCTTGATACCTCATCACCTCTCTTTTTTGCATGTCCAATTCCTCTTGCTGGTTCCTCACCAAGGCCTCATATTTCGTCATCATCTCGTCTCTGTTCTTCACGAACGCATCCATTTCGTGTTCCTTTTGTGTCATATTGCTCCTCAATTCGTCATTAATATTCCGCAATCGTTCATTCTCCATCTGTCGTTCCTTCGCGTTCTCTTCGAGTAAATTAAGTAACTTTGCATTTCGCTCAAAATTCCCCAAATGTATCTTCAATTCTTTGATATGATGCTCCTTTTCGGAAAGCGCCTCCTTTGTTCGCGTCAACTCGCTTATGGCACTTTTCAATTCCACTTCCATACAATCGTCAGTCATCCTCTTGGTCTTCTCATCGTCGTCTCTCTGTATCATACGTTTCAATTCCTTCTGCAAAGTCGCGATCTCGGTATCTTTCTCTTGTTCCTTGAGAACAGTTCCCTCCAACCGATTCTCGAGTTCCAACAATCTTTTGTTATTCCGCTCCAGTGCGTTTTGCATGTGATTCTTCTCAATCAGACAGGTTTCCAGGTTTTCGTTCAATCGAACAATATCCTCCTTTAACTTTGCTATAGTTTCCACACTTGTTTCTAAATGCTCATCCGGTTGTTCAACGTCAATGTCATTACTACTACTTGTCATGTCTCTTTGCTCTTTTTCGTCCTTTATCCAAGCAAACTCGTCCTTCGATTCTTGTCGTTGTTCCTTCTCTTCCTCCTGTTTCCCCCCTTCTTCTCCTCCTCGACACCTTGACGCATCCAATTCTTTGCGCGTTGTCTCCAGATACTGTCGAGCATCGTCCTTCGCAAGATCCTTCTTTTCCAGCCGGTCGATTTCATGCTGGTATTTCGTGAATTTTGCTTCCGCATTGGAAGTCAGTAGAGCTTCTTCTATTTTGTGTTTTTCTTCTGTGACAAGTGACAGTTGTTTCTCGAGTGCTTCCATGGAACGTCCATATTCGTCGATGATGATTTTGCTCGATTGATTTTCCTCTTTCAAAGACTTCACTATCTTGTTTACGTCGCAAAATTCCTCGGTCAACTTTTCCATACTCAAACACTTCTCTTCGTATTGCGCTTGGATTTTATCGTATCGCGCGACCAATTCTTTCGCTTGCAATTTATCTTCGTCGGTTTGAACGGCCTTTTCTCTCTTGGACAACGGTGCACAATCGACTTGAACTTCCGCCGTTGCTGTACTTTTGTAACAAACGCATCTCTCCAAATTAATATCGCAGTGACTCTTGTCACTTTTTGTTGGACTAGTGGTACCTACGGTAGCACTATCGGTTGCTTTCGATACCGTTGTGCATGCAACACTGGATGATGGTAAGCGGTTTTCAAGCGAATGTATTCCATTCTCCGCAGTATCCCTCTTGCCTTGCGACTCGTCATCCGATAATCGATCGTCGATAATCAATTCTTCCTTGACGACGAGCTCTTCGACTATGTTGTTATCCACAACAGCTGATGTTAAAATCGAATCAGATGTATTAGTCGTTTTGTCTAAACATTGAGAACTTTCCGGAAGAATTGGCCGCTTCTCGCATTCTTGAACGAGCAGCGCTAATTTTTCATCCTTCAATCGCTCAATTTCTTCTTGCAATTGTAATATCACGTTCTGAGCGTCGGATAATTTTTCACTTTGACGCTCGTATTTCTCTTCTAAAACTTCTATCATCCTGGTTTTCTCCATTAGACACACGTTAACTTGTTCGAGGTGTGATTCCACATCTTCAATCTTTTCTTCATTTTCTATTATAATTTTCGTCTGCTCGTCGACGCAAAGTTCCTTCTTCCTTAAATCGGACGTCGCGGTAATATAATCTTTCTTCGCTTCATTGAGAAATTCTTTGAGCTTTATTATCTGTTCGTCTTTAGCGAGCAATTGCGACGTAATTTCCTCGGCGAAAAATTTACCGTCTTGATTAAGGCAAATATCTTTTTGCGCGGCTTTCAGAAGATTTCTCACCACCTTTAGATCCTCCTTCGACAGTGCCAACTCGAAATTTATCTTATTCTTTTCCATAATCGAAGTTTCATTTGTTGTCTTGAGTTCAGTCAATCTCTGTTTCAAAGCTTCAATCTTTACTTGGAGCTGCGTGTTCTTTTCACCCAAATCAAGAGTTACATTAAGATAATCGCTATTCTCGCTCACATAATCATCATCATCATCATCATCATCAGTACAGTCAGTGCGTCTTCTTTTCTTTCTGTGCAGTTGATTCAATTTTTCCTCGTAAAATTCTTGAACTTGTTTCACAGTCCACTCGAGGGTGTCCTCGTGTTGCACTTCCGCATCGTTCACGCGTTGTTTCCAATAGACTTCGAGTTCGTTTATCATCGCGATATATTTGTCCGCCATTTCCTGCCGACTCTGGAGATCTCGGCTTAAGGCCGATTTTTTTAGCACGGCAATTTCTTTCTTTAATTTCTCGTTCTCATTCGCGAGATCCATGTATTCTTCCGAACTGACATATTCCGAAGCGTTCCCCGACACGGCGGTGGTGTGTTGTTGCCAGTCCTCCATACTTTCCAATTCCGTAGCATCCCAATCGGTCACGATTCCTCTGCTCTGCTCTGCTATTCGCGAGAACCTCGATTTCGGTTTACTTGCTTCTTTGCTTACTTGCTTCTTTTCCTCTATAACAATTCTCTTGGCGATAGCAGCGAAATTCAGGACGTTTTGCGTCTCAGTATAGAGATTTGGAAGAGGATTGACATTCACTATCAGGGCTAAATGCTCCTTTCCTGATAATGCTCGTTGAAATAATCTCGTTAACTTGGACTCCCGAAAAGGTCCAACAGCATCAGTTTTCGCTCTTGTTCGCTCTTGTCCTTCGTGAATAGATTTTAAACATCTGCCTAACACCAGCAGACTGGTATTGATGTTTTGTGCTTCCTTCAATCTATCTCCAATATTCAACGTCTTCTTTAAGCGCTCAGAGCCTGCCAGGTCGCAAAAGGAAAATCTGTGCAAGTGAGAAAAAGAAGATCAATACAACCATTCCCCCCCCCCCCTTGTATAAAAGAGTTTCGAAAGAACAACGACTCTGTTTGACAATATTCAACATTCATTGCTACAGTCAAGAATACTATAAATATAGTGTAACGCTGTATATATAATAGGATTTTGTCAAGTAACTTGTGTGAACCAATTTTGATGTGCGTGTATATACATAATTATAAAACATACGTACGTGCTCACTTCAACTGTATCTGGTAAATTTTCCGCGCAATATTTCAATAACGTAATTGTGAATATACAATGAGACCTCGAACTTTTTGCGTTCAATGCAGTCGCTGCTATCTTTAAATTATATTGCCCCGCCATCAAAACCTGATAAGCTTCTGCAGCTGAATTAACATAGATGGTTCTTAGTCCTTTGATAAATGCTCTACCACTGGAATCTGTTCCTAGTTTCAAAGGTATTCTCTTCTTTTGACACTCGTTCGATAATAAATCATAGACAATTTCATTATAGATTTCCGCAAATGAAACCCAGATGGAATAATGAGCATCGTGGCACTGACTGGGTCGAACTGATTCTTCTTGCAACAATTTTTGCATCTCCTTGTAAGCATTTATATACTGATGTTTATCCACAGAACTAAACGTCAGCAACTTGGTTTTTGCCTCGAGCTCCTGCGCACGTTCCAGTGCATTAAGACTGACTACATCGCAATAATGCAAAGGTTTATAAGATGGATTCGGTCTTGTCGTGATGTTAGAAAACACAAACTCTAACGCGCGTGGTATAAGGCCGGGTGAAGTGGTGGTTCCTTGCAACGTGTACGATTTTCCAGAATTCGTAGTACCTACAAATCATTGTCAATTTCGATCGGCCAAAACTCTCATTTATCGATAAAAGTGCCTTAAATGTGGTTTCTTAGCCAATCAGGTGGTTCTTATGCCTTATTTTTAGAGGTACTTTTATCGATAAAGGAAAATCTAGAGTACAGGCCATACTCTTTGGTATAATTTCATCAATATGGTAAAATCAACGGAACAAACAGGTTGCCATTAATCATGCCAAAAGGAAGCAAATAGAAAATATAGAATAAATTTGTCTTATACGCAGCATCGCTTTCAAGAACATCATTTTTGAAAATTTGCTAAACATGCGTGAGTTCCCTATGTGAAATTTTATTGTATTATGCATTTCTCTTACCATATGTCATGATAGTGCAGCTATATCCAGCTAGAAAGTCTATCATTTGTTGCTGCACAGTCTGTTCGAATAATTCCAATTGAGTTGTTTCTGGTCCAAAGGTTTGGGAGAAAGTAAATTTTCTACTAATATTTTCATTACTTTTAGACTGCTTGATAGAACTTATTGTGTTATCTAACATTGGTAGCTTCGTGACCAATGTGGTAGAATTTATGATTTTGTACGCATCTTGTTGTTCTTCTGTTAGTTTTAAATTTTTTGAAAATGGTTTAAGTCTCAGATATACTCGGACAGTTTGTAAGGATTCGGAACGCTCGTATACATTTTCTCCAGTAGAATTGTTTTCTTCTATTTCGTATAGCAAAAGCAAATTCTTCTTAGTATCCTTTGAGGGAAATGGTCTTTGACTATACGCCAAGATACTCGGATCTCTACCAAATAGATAAGACATTTCTTCTTGTTGATTATCCGATGGACGAATCGAATCCAAAGTATTTTCCATCTGTCCAAATGTAAACATGTGATATAGTTGTCTGAAATTAATGATATGATGATACTGACAATAATTGACAAAAGTTTGCAACTAGGAAATAACGTTATCACGATTCTCTCCTTCAATTAGAGATGGGTCTAAAACAATGAATACTGACATCATTCTAAATCATAACATATCTTAATATAAGATATAATCCTATAATCCTATAATCCTTAAAATAGGATACATTCCAAATTTTTCATACAATCTTACTAAAGATCGTGTGAAAAGAATATGATTTCTTTCAGACTTCGATAAAACATTATTTTGCACAAGTACATGTAGATATATAATCAAATATTATTCGGAAAGTCATCAAATCGGAATGATTTCATTTGATAAATCACAAGTCGATTGTAGAATTTATCAAAAATTGTTTATAAATTGCTGCTTTTTTCCAAGGACATACCTTATTAAATTATTTGACAACCAATATCGCCTCAGATACGAACAACAGGACGAAACGATGTAAAACGCATAAAACTAACATTTCTCTCTACCGTTCAACCGGCAAAAGCAGTTAACGGTTACTCTGGCATCTCAAATCTTGTTTGTGAAAGTTCCCTCGTTGGATTGGTGGGTTGACTCAACGATGCAGGTTGATTGGTTCAATCACGTACGATGTTATGAATGACGAACGAATCGTAACGTGCTATTTCATTAGAAATAACCAGCAATAGTTGTTTTGGAAACAGATGTACAATCACGAGATAAGAAGGAACTAGAAAGAGAAACACTACAGCAATCTGATATATATATATTTGTGTACGTTGGATTGGCTAGCAACACGGACCTAAGAATCTATGGACGGAGCATAGGAAGGGACTTGGAAATGAACTTGTGGACAAAGGTTGTGAAATTTGCGGTAGAGGGCATGAGATCGCTCCCCTTTTTTTCGTCTCTTTCTACAAGTGGGCACCGTCGGCTTTAGTAACGAATTTAACCGATGATATATTCGGTATACAGCTTATGCGTAACAATTTCTCAAAGACGCTAAAAAGGATTGCATTTTGTGTTTTCGAACGCAGCCCAAGTCATTCGAAAATCATCGGGTATGCGGCGGAAAGATCCAACGATGTCCTATTGTATAAAGAAATCTCCCTTGCCTCTCGCTCTGTCCATAGATTCTTAGGTCCATGGCTTTCCTATATTCAATAAGTTTCATATCGGATAAAAGGGGCAAAATCATTGATATTTAAAACACCGATATTTATTCATTGAGAATTCATCGTACGATCGACGATGTTTGCCTTGATGTGCCGATTAGCTGTCGGATAGGGAATTTCTAGAGTCCCTAACATTTTCTCTAATACCATTCTCAATGAGCGAATATCGATGATTTTGCCTATCCTTTCGGATTAAAAGCCGTAGAAGATTAAATCAATCAGAGCAAAGTTTACTAAACTCAAATTGGTTAACTTTGCTCTGATTGGTCGTATTTCAATCGAATCTCAATCCGTGGTCAGGCGCTGTATTCCCCAACCAACAATTGTCGATTAAGGAATCCGTCGTAAAACAAGTATATGGTAAAAAAGCTGCGCAACGACGTTTGAAGTCTTTCGCGCCACGATACACCGCGCAAGGCAAGAACTCCAAAAGTTCACCCATACGTTGATTGATCAATACTGTATCGAAGGGTATATATTTTGGGTTGAATAAATAACACGTACAATCGTTGTTTTTAGACATACCGTGTGTGCGTGTGTAATTTAAGTTTTTTTTTGCAACATATTGTAAGGAGGTATGCATAGTATTTTCATATATATTTTTATCCGTACACATCCTCTCTCTGTCTTTCTCTGTACTTGTTTTAAATGTTAAAAGTCATAAATTTCTGGAGAAGTAAGTTGTGTATCAAGTGAATGTCAGTCAACTACAGTCCAATACGATCGTTTTAATTCGGCACTCGCACTGCATACGGCAATATGTCATCTCTTGTGACGAAATGATAAAATTATGTTGTGTATTCCGTAAAGTCGTCCATATAAACTCGTTTGTTAGTTCTCGGCGATAACTCGTCCGTAGTAGTATCTGGATTATTGCTCACAGTTTCTTGCAATACTCTGCTTCTTAGCCGCTTGATGTGTCGCAAACGCTCCAACCAATTAGATGCATATGGATTGTGACTATTTTGCTTCAAAGATGAACAAACCATCGAGGCGAGCTGTAATATAAAAGTAAATCATAACATATTCTTTCGTAAAAGTTATAATACTTACATTAGCGTGCAGAGCAAGTTGCCGTGAAAGAATGGCTAGATTCTGATCAGAGATTATTTTAGGTTCGCTATGACCAATATGTTCAGCTAATTCTTCTCGCGCTTGTACTGTAACTTGATTAGTACCATGATCTAACGGTTGTATCACGACACAAGCATAATTGAATTGACCCTGAAATGAAGACGCAAAAATGGATCAATGTATAGATTACAACGAAAATTGTTGAAAAAGAAAACGTGCAATGCAGAGTCACACACCTTAACTGTCTGTATATTATACGGTTCATCCGATTCATTGTACACAAGCGTTACATAATTATTACCAATGTGTGTCTTTTTGGACGTACATTTTGGATCGCTCACTTTTGTGGGCATTAATGTTGCAACGTGGAAGGCAACCTGTAAAATTGATAATTTCAGATATATATGTCGGCGTTGAAAGAAAGAAAGAAATTAACACCATTTAAATGTGTGCAACACAAACCTGCGTAACATCATCTTGCCAAATATAAGCGAAATCTCCGTTCTCACCATTACGATCTAATCCGCCAAGAAATACGTTCTCATCGACATCTTTCAGTCGGACCAGCGTGCCTAAACGTTTCAAGAATTCAGTGTAACGGAGAGAACCATGCTGGTTTGCCAAAATTTCAATTTCATTCGAAGCTTGTCCAGGTCCAACATAGAGTACTCCTATTTTGTGAGTTTCATACGGTTGAATCCTATCTAGATTCGTCACTACGCGTTGTATGGCTGTTGTCTGCGGAACCAGCAAAGGTTTCTCCGTGGTAGTACCGAAATGCGCTGCGTGATAAAGTTGAAGGAATACAAAACTGTAACACACGACGATATTATCCGGACAACTTTCTTGTTATTGAGAGAAAAATCAGTCTCTCCAAGAGATATGTAACATACCTCGGATTAATGCCTGTACGCGGCGGATCTTTCACTCGAGGAGAATTTCCCCGTCGCATATTATCCCACTCTCCTCTTGATTTCTTCACCGGACTCATGACGGATATCGTATGGCCCCTATCGCGAAAAGATATAGGTAAAGGGGGTAACGTCGACGGATCGGGCCTCTCGTCTTTCTGCACAGTGTGATCAATTATATAAACGATAAAAAAGAAAATACACGTTACGTACAAAGTTTATCGATACCTTGTCCGCGAAATGATTTCGTCCGATAGGTGGTTTACTCTCAACAGTCAGTGGTACTTGTTTCTGACTGTAATCGAGACTAGATAATCGAGAATAAATAAGAGTAGGCGACTGCGGCGCTTTTATGACAGTAGACGTAGTTTGTATCTGCGTAGAACGCGTTTGTGTTCCTAAATAATTTCCCGGCGCCTAAGGTAAGTGAAAGGTAAAACAGTTTTGCGATCATTATGTGAGAGATATATATTCGTAACTACCTGCACAGTTGTCGGAGATGGTGGTACGGTACTGCTGCTACTGCTGCTGCTGCTGCTGCTGCTGCTGTTAGTAACTGACGAAACGGTTTGAGTTATTTGCGTCGCTCCTGGATAAGAACGTTGCGAACGTAATGCAATAGGATGATCTCCCGTATTTTCCGAGGAAGGTGGAGTTGTTCCCATGCCAAATATTTCTTCCGGTATAGCTTCGCAGCTAACTCTATTGCGATTAACGAACAGCGTGATCGTAATTAACATCATATAGGCGAAGAAATAACGCATCTCTCTAGTAGAAAAATATACATGCCTCATATCTTTTGCATAAATGTTCTTTGAATGCTTCTTCAATTCTGCATCTAATTTGACGTCCTGATCTGAAGTGGCAAGATCTTTATCGACTTGTTGCTGCACACTTATCTTTTCTTTGTTTAAAAATGGATTCTTCCAATTAGCGCTCATTTCTGGACTGGAATTTGATCGGCGGACCGGATTTCTCGAGCGTCGTGTATCTGTAACAAAATTTTCATTCGTTTAGAAACGTATCGTTTTAAGAAAACAATTGATGAAGGAGAGACGGGATGCGTATATCTCTCCTATACCTTCTTCACCTTCCTCTAAGCTTTCCAGGCTATCCCTCGAACTTTGCCGAGATGGGCTAGGTCGTACTGGCGAACCAGGTATCGCGATAGGACCTGACGACGATATCGCTGATTTGCTCGCACTATGCTCGCTGATAAGTGACTGGTTATTACTTTTGTTTGGTACATCCTGCAAAAAGTGAGTAATATAAGCATTTCATCAATTTATAGTCGTAAATTTATCGGAGAAAGATCAACAACCTCTGCTTCATCACCGGAGAATTCTGTTTCCTGTTGCTTATTCGATGATACTATATCTTGATTTGGCATGTACAGAGCCATAATATCATGCACAGGAAAGTCCATAGGAGTTTCAAACTGCGTAGAATTTTGAATTCTCATAATCCACGACATATCGCCTGTGGGTCTACGCACGTATATCTCCGCCCATCCTTGACACCAGCAGGCACAAAGCACGTGTCCATCTTGTTTATCGCTATTCAATATCTGTCCTAATTTGGACTGTTCAACCTGATCCTTGTCCTGAGTTTTCTCCTGAGTAAGAAAATCCTTCTTTGCGCTATCCGAATCCGCTTCTTTCTTAGTAGATTCTTCCGTGGGAGAATTTGCAGCAGTATTTGCGTTTGAACTTCCATGTCCACCAGAGGATTGTCTCGATAACTTATCTTCTTTCGATGCCTATCATCAAACCATTCCTTATGTACGTAATTATATATTTTTCTTGATACATANGGGGGGGGGGGGGAATTTTGAATGGAATAACGTTCAATATTTCATAGAGTCCATACATATATCGTAGATACATAAATACCTCAAGACTCGAAGTACGTTGCAAGTTGCAAGACTGCGAGGTTTTTGTCTGATCCAGTAATAGGAATCCAGGTTTACACGCTGCCCAACAATTATCACAAAGTCCGCCGCGCATAGCTTTGTTACTACAACCACTAGTGGTTACAGTGATAAGTCTATTGCCAAGAATCCAAGTCATCGACTGACCTTCCTTAAGAAGGAAATCGGCAGCTGGTAATCTATCATAAGAAATCACAATACATTTTATTCTCACAATACGAAATATCATAAATGTAAAAGCGTTACCTCTTAGGTCGCGCGGAAAAATTGGAAAATGTATAACGAGCCATCAAATCGATGCAAGTTTCGGTAAGTTCAATATGAAAGTTCATCAAAGCTTCATCAATTGGAGGTTTTAAATCTAAAGCTCTACTTTCTCCTATCATTCGATTGGCCATTATCGGTCTTTCTCTTCGTCCTCTGCTACCCTGTAGACAGTAAGAAATATAGACGTAGAGACACAATGTGAGAAAGTGTTGTAACATCGATTACCTACTTGTTCAGTTAAGCTGGAACTACGTTTTCTATTCGAGGAATCTTCATTAATAACACTAAAGTCGGATTTCATAAGGTGTCCTTCTTCAAAAGGAACTATCACATTTGCCTTCAATCCCTAAATCATTCATTGAAAAGGAAGAAAATTGTGAAGCAAACATGTCAATATTTCGAAAGATTGCGAATCATCGAAAAAAAGGGATATACACACCGTAGTGATAAATTTAACAAAATCTCTCCGAAATGGAAGTCTGCATTTCAAAAACCACACTGCTATTACATGATGAGCCAAAGACACTGTATAATGATTATATTTGAAAGGATTGGTATATGGTAATAGTATCGCGAATACAGACATGTATTGATCCCCGATGAAGCTGGCAAAGACTTTTGGAAGCCTGGTTAGAGCTAGAACATCATCGGTAGTTTAATGAAGAAAAGATTTCAATATCCGAATATCAACATACAATCGTGTACTTACTCGATAAAAACTCTAAAATAGGTATGGCAATGTAAACAGTTGCAGAAATCTTGGATAAATTTAAGAGCACCTCAGTTAAAAGTTTATTCATCGCATCGCGCATTTCTAATGTGCAAATTGTGAGACTGGTTACACATTGGCTCGCGCACTTCGCCGTTAGACCAACCTAAGTAAAATAGCATTACAAGCTCATTATTCAATCATCACACTCGAGTAATCTCCGGAGTTCGTTCTCCTACCTCTAGACATTTGATTAAACGTTGTTGCAAATTAGGTTCCAAATGTGCATGATACGACGCCAGAGACGCTAGTACCGGAAACACGTAGACCCGAAATTCGGAAAGCGTAAACTTTGGTGGCACGTTATAAAGCGACTCGGGTAGACGCAAACGATTGTCGCTCACCTGAAAAATTTTAATCAGGCAAAATTGATACTACTACTACTACACAGAAAACTGTATATTCGCGAGGAAAACGGAGAAGAGAACCATGGAACATAAAGCTGCCGCAAAGATGTCGATGTCGTTACTATGACGAGATAACATTAGCGCCCTATTCTGCATCACTTGAGGCAACTCCTTCAATATAAGATATAAAACTTTCCAATCTGCCGAAATTAAACAAATTGATCAGTGCTTTCTATCTTTCTCCATAAACCGCGTAAATAAGAAAGTACCCTTCTCTTGCTTAATGCACGAAATCACAGCTTTACATGCATGAGTCAAAGACATGGAAGTGACATGACAAGATAAATGTTGCAACGGTGCCGGGCTGGCCGGTGGAGGACTATTACCCCCTCCTCCACTCGTAGCATTATTCACACGCTCAGTTGTAGAATGCTCCAAAACAAGATACGGACTGAATCGTGTTACGGTGCCATTCGACGACGGTGCACCGTCGAGCACACCAAGATGATATAGAGAGTTCGCTCTGATTTTTAAGAAGCTTTCAAAGATCTGCAACCATCAATTGCATATGATACAGGTGTGTAAAAAGTCAGTCAATTTCCTGGATTAGAGTATTACCAAGTAACGTGTCGTCGATACATCGTAGAAAACGGAAGGGTCTTTGTAATGCTGCTCAAGATGGTTCACTAAAATCTTATAAGCACTGATCGCATGACTCGACGGCAAACGATAAATTTTTGAAGTAAATATCTTTATAATTCCAACAACCGCAGTTTTTACATCCTTTATATCAGTATCCGTAGAGACTGGAGTATCCGCCGATGTAAAAGGCTTATTGATTATCTAAAAGCAGCGATAATATTAAGAATGTGTACGGCGTAAAAATCATGATTTATACCTTTTCCAGTATGTTCAACAGTTCCAAACACAACTTCGTGTCACATTCCAAGCAAAGGTCCACTAATAAATTCGCCGTGGCGTTGCGTATTGTAATATCAGGATCCATATCCACGTGTTGAGTGTACGGTACAACTATTCGCTCGATGAGTTCATCCTCGTACCTGGACCTTGAATCGAATATACATGAGAAAGAAGAATCATTGAGCGAGGTATGTAACGCAAATTCTTCAGTCTGAGCAAGCATGTAATACCGGTTAACTTGAATGACGTTCACCAGGACATCGAGAACCTTCATTCTGATGGTTGTACGCGTTTCAATTTTATAGTAACGTTCCATCAAAGATCCCAACTTGACCTGCCAATACGTAGGACCTATCGTACAAGTCCTGTATTCGATTAATTTTAACACGGATCCCTCCTGCAAAAAAAAGTACCGCTATAACAGAGTGCGAATGTTGCGCGGCGTATACTTACAGGTCGAGTATCGCTACAACGTTCGATAAGATCGTAGAAACGTTGAATACAACCATTATAACTGTTTGCGTCAAGTAAATTCTCGATATTCGTAATTGTTTCGTGTAAACTCGTAGAGACTTGTTTGGTCGCCGGCTGATTGCTGGTTTCTGCAATACAAAAAATAAATGGCACCCGATCGAACGATCATTTCGACGCTCTCTTCAACGAGTGTTTTACCAGTATGAGCAATCACTTTCTCCACAATATCGAGAATAATACTCCATGTAGGATCCCACAAGTCATTACCATACTTATTCACCAATCTTTGTATCGACAGAGTGACCTCGTACATAACGATCGGATGATTGCACTGTAGAGCCTGCCAACGTAACATTTTACCCCATCGAACATTGTCAAATCGATATCTTGAATACATACTTGATAGAATGAGGGCAAGACAGACGCCGGTGTACATTCTAACTTTGGTATTCTATGTGTACCCCACAGGCCCATGTTTACATAAAACACTGCACCTCGAAGTAGACGTACGTCACGTTGAAAATTTACATCTTGCAATAGCCGGCACATTGTATACAAAGCGCAATGACCCATATGCGTTCCTAATAAATTTCGCATTATCTGTAAAAACATTATCGACTATTACGGCAAATTCTTCCCTCGCGCTGTCTCGAACAGCATTTACTCTGTGTGCACACGCGATTTACAGAGAAAGAAAAAATATGACTTCTCCCAAAAATACAAAGGAGCAACAGTCTGATCATGTATACTCACAATCCGCACACGAATAACAAATGCGCGTTCATGCACTCTCATTTAAAAGGAGAAATTTTTTTATTGTCATACCTTCCAACTTGTTTGGCAATAAGTCTCGACATTTACACTTCTACATAAAGCTATGACGAATGTTTGCAATGAGTCAGGTTGCAAATTACTGTAACACATAATTGCATCGAGAGCTGCCAAGCATCCGGAAACAACCTCGGTACTATTACTACAGTAACACAAATAAGAGATATATCTGGAAAAAAAAAAAAGAAAGTTACAATTTTATAGGCTGTATGAAGGAATGAGGAATAAGAGACAGCTGACTTACTGAACCAGACCAGACACAATATCCTCGTCGATGTAAGCTGAGTTGAATTTGATTACATTTACAAGGAGTGACAAGAACTCGGCTCCTCTTTTTCCATCACCTGATGTCACTGTAGGCATCCATTCGAGAAGGAAAGGACCCATTCGTTCCTCCAAATGTAAAATATCTTTACCATGCTCGGTTAATGTTTGTAACAATTCCAACCTAAAATATTCAAGCAGCAGTAGAATGAACGACAGTACAACAGATTTCCTTATTATAGAATACCTAGGACCAATATCTTCTGGCACATCGTATTCTTTGACCACCATGAAAAATTTTACACGCATCAACGACGAAAGTTTCGAATATTGTCCTTGCACTAGGCATCTTAAAAAATGGAACGTCAGATGCCTATGTTCGCGTGGAACATCTTTTCCCAATAAATCTTGAACCAAATTCCATAGACGTTCCGCTGCTCTCTATATCAGCAGCATCCGAAAGAAGCAAATCGAATGTTACATATGAATGAAAATAACACAATAAGGTTTCCTGTACAAGAATACATACATCTTCCCACTGTTGATTGAGAACAGCATCACAAAGCTCTTTAATCGCTTTCATACGATGATTTACAGGACTATCAGGACTGATATCTCTCTCGATATCGTGAGTCAAGGTGACGTCTTCACGATTCTTGTAATTTCCTTTAATGCCGGTTGATGTTACAAAAAATCGTACTTAGCATGCCGAGTATAAATACGTGAGATCTATGTAAAACATGGATTCATATTCACCTTTATTTATGCGAAAGAATTGTTTCAGTTTATCATTAAACGTTTTATTATCTTTGTCCTTTGAATTCATTTTCGACATTTTGACGTCAAATCCAACGCAATATATGGAGAAACGACCGACAACGCATAACCTGTCACGATAAACATGTCAGAAACCATTATCTTTTGAATAAACTAGTCGCAACTCTGAATAAACGCCATCTTAAGTTCGGAACATACACAATAGAGGTCTGTTCGTTTTCGCTGCACCGCTGAACTAGTGCAACAAGTTGAAGCGAGACAAGTATATGTTTTCTCACTTCAACTTATTGCACTAGTTCAGCGGTGCAGCGAAAAAGAACAGACCTTCAGATTGAGATTGGATTGAAATTTAACCAATCAGAGCAAAATTCACTAAATTCAAGTATCTTAGCCGCATTTTAAGTCAATCTCATTTCTAATCTGATATAGGGCGCGTTCGAGGAGACGCTATTTAGCACATCATTCTATCTTTATTACTCTTTACATGTACAATAAGGATAGAATGATGTGCTAAATAGCGTCTCCACGAACGCACCCACCCACAGACTTTGATACTACCGGCAGCATCAAGTAGATTCTGGCTTTCACGTACGAAACTAATCGTACGAACCCAAAAATCGGGTCCCTGTGTGTATGCGCTACCCAACTATGAACCGTATATACAATGAACCTTGATCTAGCTACTGGCATTGGAGACGAGTCTTTGGATTGTCCGCAGACATAATTAACAATTTTTTTGCGAGTGGTATTAGGGTGTTACAAGGCTGCCTGAATTGAAAGAAAGAAGGAAAAAGTTTCTATTATTCTTTGGTAGCAATCTCGATTTCTAAATATTTAACTATAATTTAACGTATATATAATAAAAAACGTATCTATAAACATGGAATCCAAACAAATTGAGAATACCGGTGATGGAAAAAACGAGAAAGTTACTTGGAAGGATTTAGTAAGTACCGAGTAGTTGTAACCTCAGATATAACCTCAAATAAAATTGCACACGTGTATCCTAATCTTTATATAATCAGTTCAATAAATAAAATTTTGTGTGCTTTGTGATAGAAATAAGCGACATTTATAATATAGTAGAAAATATGTTTTACACACACACACACACACACACACACACACACACACACACACACATATGGAGGTTACTCAGTGATGTATGTGATACATATAGTAATAAGAGTGAGAGAGAGAGAATATAAGTTACACACAATGTCGAATGATCATTTTAATCTCTAGTTTTAATTTGTAAAATATAATTTCAATAAGGTATAAAATGAGTGTACTTTAGAGGTTACTTGAGATGAAAGGTATATTTAAAGTATATGCTAATGCTTCTATAGGGGATTGTAGACACACTTTGCAAAGCATGTCATGATTTAAAGTGGGAAGAACCCACCAGGATTCAGCAGGAAGCTATTCCTTTGACACTTGAAGGTAATTTTAACAATGATATACAAAATAGAATTTTTAAAGCAGGAAAGTTCATTGTTTAATTTTGTTTGATAGGCAAGGATGTAATAGGATTAGCAGAGACTGGATCAGGAAAAACTGCTGCTTTTGCGTTACCCATGTTACAGGCATTATTAGAAAATCCTCAGAGATATTTTGGACTTATACTAACACCTACGAGAGAATTGGCATTTCAAATTTCAGAACAATTTGAAGCATTAGGTAAAAAAAAAAGAGAATTACGCAAAGGGAAGCATCTAGATTGTTAAGTGTACGCTCTGATTTATATCAAGTTATTTGCTTCAGGTTCCAGTATTGGTGTGAAATGCGCAGTATTGGTAGGTGGAATGGATATGAGTGCACAAGCACTATTACTTAGTAAGAAACCTCACATCATTATTGCCACACCTGGAAGATTGGTCGACCACTTAGAGAATACAAAAGGCTTTAGTTTAAGAAACTTAAAATTTCTGGTAATCAAACACGGCGGATTTACCTTGACAATTATCACATCGGCTTTAATTTCGTTCAATTCTTTATTTTATTCTTAAGGTCATGGATGAAGCGGATCGTATATTAAATATGGATTTCGAGGTAGAAGTTGATAAAATTCTTAGAGTGATACCACGAGAAAGGAGAACGTTACTATTTTCCGCAACTATGACTAAGAAAGTACAAAAACTGCAACGTGCATCTTTACGAAATCCTGTAAAAGTCGAAGTATCTACTAAATATCAAACTGTAGAAAAACTACAACAATACTATATATTTATCCCAGTGAAATTCAAGGTATTGTAGTAATTACATACACAATCGTGAGATCACTGTCAACCATGTTATATCAAAATATATATGTACAAAACAATGTTATATAATGATTTTGATGGCAGGATGTATATCTGGTGCATATCTTGAATGAGCTGGCTGGCAATAGTTTCATGATATTCTGCGCAACCTGCAATAATACTGTGAGGACTGCTCTGTTATTACGACATCTGGGCTTCACGGCGGTTCCGTTGCATGGACAAATGTCTCAAAACAAAAGGATCGCCGCACTTACAAAATTCAAAGCGAAAAGTAGATCTATATTAATTTCAACGGACGTTGCTAGCAGGTGAGCCCACGATGTGGAAAAGATATTGTTTAATGTGCAAATCAACATTGTGACGAAATACTTTTGCCCCCTGTATAGAGGTCTCGACATTCCGCATGTAGATATTGTTATCAATTTTGATATACCCACACATAGTAAGGATTACATACACAGAGTAGGCCGAACTGCGCGTGCAGGTCGATCAGGTCGTTCTATAACATTTGTCACACAATATGACGTGGAGTTGTATCAACGTATAGAACAGCTGATATCGAAGCAACTGCCATTGTGGCATACGGAAGAGGAGGAAGTGATGCTGCTGCAGGAAAGAGTGACCGAAGCACAGCGAATAGTAAAAATGGTAAAATTTGAGAGGTGTATTTCAAGAATTGTGATGCGTTTGCAGACACTTGTAAATACTACAACTTTCTAGGAGGTGAAGGACATTGAGGACAGCAAAAGGTCGAATAAACGGAAAAGGCGCGACAACGAAGATGACACGGAACAATCAATCGGAGTGAGAAAACGAATCAAAGGAAATGGGAAGAAAAAGAATGTCGCACGCGTGATGCGCCGCTAACAAGATGACCGTTAATTTCATTTTGAATAAAATGACTTATCTCTCTCTTTCCACAACTTTTGCTGCTTCTTTAGGAGGTCCTTTTTTCTTCAATTTATAGAAGACTCGTCTCCCACTACGTTGTCGCAATAACGTAAAAATGTGTGCAAGAAAGAAAAAGGTTGATATCCATTGTCACGAGCTGTCCGACGTATTTATCGTATTGAGCGGTAGAATCTCATCGGGCCTCACCGGTAAAGCTAGCTGGACAAGAAAAGTTTGCTTTAGTATATATCGAGTAATAACTTACCGTCTATATTGTATGTACGATATCTTGACAAGTTCGCTGCCGCGCTTCGATTCTAAAACCACCAACGTATTCATTCTTTTTCTAGTATAGAATAGACTTTATGTGAGCGCACAGAGAGAAAAATTTCCGTTGTCACATGTTATATGACGTAGTGTCAATTGTTGCATATTCCACAATTTAGAAAGTTAGAATTTCCCGCTGTGTATGACAGTGTTGAGACATCTTGTATACAAAATAATGAGCATTTAAAACGAGGGAAATTCAAATGGGGCGGGCGGATGGACCAATCTTGAAATCTCAATAAAGAGAATTCGACAAACTCGGCTCGATTTCTTCTCTATTGTTTGCTGCGTTTCCGTAAATCAGCTAAGCCTCTTTGTCAGCCCTCTCTCGTGGATCGAACACGATACGAACGGATTAGCGGGTGGATTGTGGGAATGTAAATTTGTAGAAGATGCTTCTCCGTGAAGCTCGGAATACAAGTAAGGTTTCACAATGAGGCAAACGTTGTTATATTAGAGAAATCGGTACTGTATTTCAACGACTTCGAGTCTTTGCACAGAGCAGCAATATGGTATTTAAATATCACTCAAATAATCACAATAAAATATATTATTAAGTAAAATCACAATTTGTATTATTTGCGGGAAACGCGTTAATAAGGGAAAATTTAATTGAAGCCAGTTTATCGAAGCAAAGTTTGTTATTGTACAGTAAACAGAGATTTTGTTTCATTTGCAGGCTTCTATTTGAACTTTATCACGAAACGGAATCCCGTTCACAAGAAGAAATGTAGAGATGAAGGAAAGCGTCCCTCTAGCAGGAAAATGTTACGACGAGCGTTACCTACAGCTTTTATACGCTACTGTAAAATCGCTAAGTTCGATCGATTAGTTTTCATAAAACTTCTATAGAAAATCAATAATTCATTGTACAAGTTTTTGCAGTACAAAATACGGTACAACAAGGAACACAGTAATTGTTCCTTCAAATTTACAACTACGAGGCATCCTCTTCACTACGAGAGATTATTAATTATATAAAGTGGCAACAGATTCTTATTCGCGTATTACGTAAGATAACAAATGCAGACGTGCACTGGGAAATACTTGGGTGCTGCGGCTATTGTCTCGAAAAAGCACTAATTAAGTGTTACGATTTAAAAAGGTGGCCATACTAACCATGACGCATCTACAACACGGTTATCAAAGCATTGCGGTTGTTGATAGATACAATCGTGTGTGCAAGCATAATATTCGTTAGAACGTTCATTGTCCGACGTTGCCGGACGAGCTGAAATTATGAAATTTTCTACAGATCGTAACCTTTTAAACCTTCCCATAAATGTCATAGATATTTTGCCACGATGTATTTACCGGCGTTGTTTTACGGGCGTATAATATACCTGTTGTGTTACTTAAAGTAAACTGGGAAATGTATGGTCGTGCGATAACAAATAATATAAATCGCCGCAGCTTTTGTTGTTTGCAACAAGAATATCTGCTTAGAGTACATGTATATGCTACGCATTATTCGGTAATTAGATCTCTCTATCCATTGAACAATCGTATCCGAAAATCTCAATTTGATTTTTATTGTAAGAAGGCTGTACATATGTAATTCTCATTGCCGAAGGCTTTTACACGACGATGAACAACGCGCCTGCGCAAAGAAATCGCTTAGAGATCTGCGATGTATAATGGACGACTTTATCCGAGAGAAACGATTATTTCAAATTACCGATATTCTCTTTCTGTAAGTTGTGTGTGTGTGTGTGTGCGTGTGCGTGTGTATGTGTTGTGTGTGCGCGCGCGCGCGCATATTATCGAGTACTTTAAAACTTGAAATGGGTTGGCAGCGACCAATGCTCCTGTAATTCCGCGTAATTAGAAAAAATGGTATTTTAATGCATATATATATATATATATGTATGTATATATATGTATCGGGACTTTTTAACGCTTGACACTGAGATGATATATAATGACCCGACAATTTATAATAAATAAACTCGCATGGTATATTCCTCTCTGTGCGACTTTTAATAAAAACAAACGTATATGTACATTGACAATGACCAATCATTCGAGTTGTAATTAGTCTCTTGTGAAACGTTATAAATTATTGAAATCTAAAAATCATAAAGTGTGCATCATTTTGGAAGGTAGTTTGGCGTGCACGCACGTTATTGTTGCGTGTGTATATATATAAAAATACACACACATAAAAAACACACACACACACACACTCCCCACACACGTATATATATACAATCTCAGACCTTGACGACGAACTCGCGGACTTGTTAAACGTTAGAATAAGTATATAAGTAACCTATTTTGAGAGCAGACTAATTACGATGGATGGAATGTTTTCCAAACGCAGGTTGAAAAATGTGCTAGTGTGACGACAAAATCGAAACAACTTAGGTTTCATTTAAATGAGAGGTAAAATATATTCCATAGTATTATTATTCACTATTTCTACACATTCTGTACAGTAATTCAATTTAAGAGTTTCATACCTCGATACACTTTATACAAAAAGGCTACTTATAATCTAACATTAAGACGTACCATAGCATGAGCGCCCTCCACCTTAGCAGACAGCGGATGGGCCGCACGCATGTTTGTACTGGTATTACATTATCAGTCGCCAACTAGTATAATTACCTCCCTTCTCTCCTATTCTCCGCTTTAATGTCTTCCCCTCATTATCACATACAGCACACTGCATAACTGCAAATGTTCTCTAGTGCTTTCACTCTTTTTCACTCGTTTTTGTTTTCGCGCGCGCGTGTACATACACACATACCCATATATACATGTGTATATGCACATGTGTATATGTCACACATGTATATACATATGTGTGTGTGTGTGTGTCTATATATATATATACACACACACACATATATACATATATATTGTAATCATTTACAATAATTATTTAACCTCCCAATTGTGATCTACCTCTTCGTCTCGCTGTTTAGTCTGTTTCTCTTTGTTCTTTTTTGCTTGTGATTCATCTCGCATTTTGTGATTTACTTTTGGGGGAAAAAAATCGATCAAGAGAGATTTTATATCGTCGCGGCATCAAAACGTAATGAAATGCTTTCATTGCCTCGTATGCACGAGTTTGTTCCTCTCGATTTAATTTCTTTCTTACATATCCCATTACCGACGAACAGAAACGTATTCCGCGAAATTTCTCGCTCGGATACACAATACCGACGGTATTGTACAACACAGGAACGGCGTATTTCGAAGACAAAATGAACGACGGTATTGTTAATTCAGGTCTCTGTCTTCTAAGTACTTGTACTCAAAAGTAAAGCCTTCCTTTTTCCTCTGTCCCCATTTTTCGTAATCAAAATAGATATACGTTCCCTGAAAAGCGGCAGATTCTTATGGTGCATTTTTGTGCTAAAATACGCGAGAACAATGCGCTCAAGTACAATCTTCAATTATCACGACTTACCTTCGTACTTAGATACGCGCATGACAGCGCTTATGACAGAGTTTGTTCTCCCCCCTCCCCCCTTTTTTTCCCAAAATAGAAAGAGCAACAAAATTTACTGACCTGTTCGTATTCCTCGTTGATAACTTTCGGCTCCTCGTGCCTCTGGAACCACATCATATACTTGGTGTGAAACCTCCAGCTCTGTTTTTTCAGCGCTTTTGCCGCCAAGTATTGTCCCTTGGAGCCCTCCATATAATAAAATATGAAGAATAAGGTTTCCGTAGAAAGACGTTGGAAGAACTCCACAGTATCCGAATGGGGAAGCTGAACCTGGCCGACAAGTCTGTGTGTCAACGCAACTGTGCGTAACTGATGACGCGTGAATAAGAGATCTTCGGTGAAACATGTGGCGTACCTGCTGATAATAAGGCGGAGTCGCGCACGTGTTTCTCGGCAAGTACGAACGTAGTCTTTCCGAGTCGGATGGATGTGGCATGTGATAATAGGCAGCTTCCATCATTTGAAACTGCAACTGGTGTTCCTTCTGTAGAGGTACAGGCCCGAGGGGCGCGACGCCGAGCAAGGGAGGAATGTGTGCTTCCGACGTAGCATTGTTGTTATTATTACTGTTCGTCTTGGCACTATCGAAGATGTTTCGATTCGGCTCGGAGGGAGGTATCTCCAGACCTGCTCGGACAATGACTTGTTGGGCGATGGATTTTAGAGAGGACATGCCATCGGGAAGTTTAGGGATGAGACCATTGGCAGTGGACGGTGCTGGCGAGCAGGAATTCGCGGGCAGCGGTGAGGATCTACTGCTAACGGATGACTGCGGCGACGAGGATGGCGGTACCGGCGTAACGATCTCCGTTTCGCTATTGTGATTCTGGCTTTGCTGGCTATGCAGTATATGCGTCGTTTGTGTCGGCGGTGGCGGCGGCGGCGGATTATTATTGTGCTGCTGCGCGACCGTTTGTGGCACATTGGTCGTAACGTTAGACGTGGACGACGACGACGACGACGACAAAATACCATTTTCGCTGTTGTGACCTGTAAACATTGAAAGAGGTTCGTTTTTTTATAATATAGCTCAATTGATGGCGACAGCGAGCGAGCGAGCGAGCGAGCGAGCGCGCGCACGAGAGAGAGAGAGAGAGAGAGAGAGAGAGAGAGAGAGAGAGACAGACAGAATACAAAAGTCTTACTGGATGTTTTATTAGAGGTAGAATGAATGGCTTGCGAATTACTGTGCGAGGCAGCTACGGTGGCGAAATTGCCGGCGTTAGTCGTGGCGATGTGATTGCTCGTAGAACTAGGCGAGCTATGGCTAGGTGTCATGGGAATGGTTTTACTCGGAGTGCTGCTCGATAACATGTTCGATTTGATGGTGGCAGTGCTTCCCGTGGTTGGAATGCTCGCTTGCGTATTCAGTAACGGCCTGACTGCTGTTGGTTTCACAGGCTGAAAATCACGAAACATTGCTGAAACAACGTATTCGCCGATTCAACCGGTTTGTCTCCGGAAAACGGCTCGTAAAAGGCAGCACATACCTTTGTTTTCTTGTCATTCTCCGTAGAACTATCGCTCGAATGGTTGTGCAAAGTAGAGCTCAACGGCGGTGATGGTATGACGGAAGGCGAAGTACAGGAATTAGTCGAAGTTGGTGTGCCTCCCGTTTCGTTGCTGTTGTTACTATCCGTCGTTGCTGATGAAGGAATACCAACCCCGGACAACTCAACTTCGTCAAGGCCGATAATATCGTCGTAAATATACTCGTTCTCCTCAAAATCTGGATCTTGCGAAGATTCAATATAATATTCAACGTCCTCCTTTATCCTCTTGATCTGTCCACAATTTCATAGAGAATCGTTTGAATAGGAAATCAGACGACTTTACAGGCTTTACAGGCTCATTTGCAAGCACTTACTGTGTTGACTTCGACAGACATGTTGTCGAGCATACGTAACAATGTTTCCAATTTACGGATATGATAGCGATGTTTATCGAGTTTCGCCTTCAACTCGTCCATCCTATCTTGTTTATCTTTGTCTAACCTTTTTTTCTTCCCCGCCAGTAACGATTCTATTTCCGATTCAAATGTGTCCAACTATATCGAGAATAACGGGAAAATGACGAGAAAGTATTAAAGTTACACAAAAGCGTACAGGAGAGGCGGCAAATAAACATGCGGTTAATCGCGCTTTAGCCAAATATGCATTCGTCCGCAGGCGATTTGACAAAGCATCAATACCTGTAAATTAAGAGAATCTATGGAATTAGCCAGCCAATTACTGACTTCTTCTCTCTCCTTCTGAGCTGGATCTAGTTTCTGCGCTGCACCCAAGCCTTCCTTAGAATAAGCCTTTGTTTTTGTTTCCCTTTCCACAACTTTAAATCTTTCCATTTGCTATAGAACATTTGACATTTACTATGCAAGAATTTATGGTAATGCTTGACCGTGTCTGGCGCATGTGACATAACTTGCAAACATACTCACAGTTTCGATTAGCTTCCTGTAGTCGAGAAGCGTACTCTTATCCTTGATCTCACCCGATGCGATCCAGCTCTTAATCTGATCGCGTAACCTTTGAAGTTTCTTGATTTCCTTTTTAAGGTCAGCCTCGTACTTTTCCTTCTGATTGCTGTTAGTGGCATTATGAACTTTCTGCCAGATATCTTCAAAGGTTTCCACGCCCTCTGTTACTTTTTTAAGGCACCGATCTATTTCACCTGAAATAAACAGAGTATTATTATTACGAGTTTGTAACGTCGTTCGCCTATCTTCTTGCTCTCGATAAATGAAAGGTAATAGAATATCGGTAGAATTGAGTTCAAACGACTGAGCACAAATTGGGAGAATCAATGTACCGTAATTCTTACGCAAAACTATATCCTAAGAGAATCGTGCGCTTCTAGTGAGCCTCAACGTGAAAAGCTTAAAGGTTATGGCGATATGTCAAGGAACGTGGGGATGTGGCGAAACGACGATGAATTCCGCGGGAGACGAAGGAGAAAAGGATAAATGCTTACATTGCCAAATCGCCCCAAGATCTCAAGTCGTGTGCGACAATGTGTACCGACGCTAGATCATAGCGAGCGATTTCGCGCGCTGAAGCCGTGCGATCCTGCTCGCGTGATCACAAACGATCAGCAGCGAAGGCGCAAAGGCAGACACGGCTAATGTAATGCCTTGAGTTCTACAGTTACAGCGTGTGATGTGACCGATTTCTGAATGTAAACATGCTGAGAACACTTCATTCTTACCTTGCAACTTTCTCGTCGCAGCCATGGCTATGTGAACACGTGATAAAATGGTTCATGCATAGTCTAGACGTATTAGAAAAGAAGCGGAGAAATTTATCGGAACAAATAGTCAGTGAACTATTATTCTCGTATAATATAGGAGGCTCGGCCACAAGATGGCTTCCGTTTTGAAATGACAACGTCCGACCGTCCGTGAATGAGTCGATCCTGCCCGATGCTCTCCTCGGCCGTGTTCTTATGCGAAACTCTTGAACGTTTCAACGCGAACCGTACAACGAGGCTACCTTTGACGTTCGCGGTGGATTCACGAAAAGCGAATAGCATCAACAAGCGATATATATGAGAAACGAGATAGATAATACGACGCATTCGCACACATCCTAGGGAGTATACAAATCACTGAACATGTAGCCAACGATATACGTTTTTGCGCGTTCCCTAGGGGACAATCTATATCCTCCAAAGTAAACTCGTGGAAAATGAGCAACTTCATATACTTTTCCTTTGGAAAATGTTCACGCAATTTATGCTAAAGAAAAAATAATACTAGAGCCATTTTATCTTTGTCCCTCAAGGAATATTGGCTTCCGCCCATAGGACGCGGCAATGTGTGACGAAATTCGCGCGATAGCCAATCAACATGCCGTTCTTCGGTAAGAACTAGAAATTGATTAGTTACCGCGCCAACTTGCTTGTGGGTATAATAGCTCGCTCCTCGACATATTCAATAAGCTTTAAGCAGTAAGCAATTGACCAATCGAATATGAGAGGAATGGTCGATTGGTCAATTTCTTACAGTTCAAAGCTTATTATAGCTAATGTAAATCCGGGCTTGAAAGCCCATTTATGCAGATCGTAGGCCGTTATTTTATGCCGTAAGAAATTGACGATTCTATAATTTTATAATTCGAATATGACTTTTTTGCGGCATAAATTAACGACCTGTATAAATGGGTCCTTAGGCCGGTATTCATATCTTCAGATGCTTTACGATTCATTTTATTGGCCACGAAGCACCTGAAGATAAACTTAAGACTGTCTTAAATATAAGATCCAACTATGAATACCGGCCTCAGACTGGTGTTATGCCCGTACCGATTACGGATTAAGATTGGATTGTAATTTTACCAATCAAAGCAAGGTTCATCAAACTCAAGTTTAGTGAATCTTGCTCTGGCGAAATTTTAATTCAATCTCAATCGGACTTTATGCATGCGTTGTACGACGAATATTATCAGACTGGGATAGGGAATTTCAAGGGTCCCTAAATTTTTCTCTAGACAATCTTGAAATTCTCTAACTGCCAATCGGCACATCCGATAAATTCGTAGTTCGACGCATCCTCAATGAGTAAACATCGATGTTTCAAACATCAATGATTTCGTCGATCCCTATTTCACTCAAACTTATTTCATCAGTGGGCCTGTTTTGTTATGAAATGGAAAAAAAAAAACAGTATGACAGAAAGTACGATTCTCAGCAGTATTTTTGTTTTATTTTATTCTTCTTTGTTACTTAGAATGCATAAATATATAAAAATACTATAAAATGCATATAAGAGATACACGTATATTTATATTTTATACATCCGGCTATATATGTTAAATGAAACAATATATTAAACGAGATGATGACAGATTTCACAAAAATAATCGCGTCTGACTTTTGTATAAAGTTGGACGTATCGAGTATCCGATTTAATGGGAGATTTCATCATCGGAATGTATTCGATGACGTTACAACTCGCAGAATTCATGAAATATGACTTCCCAAGTTACCCATGTCGTAACATATTTTGTACAGTTTGTTCTTTCGTCGATTTGTAACAATATATGAAAGAGATAATTTTTTATATTCTATATAGATAATTACTTCTTTCGACAAAAATCGAAGGGAGGAAAAGAGCAAAAGGGATTCTTACAATTGTTTGTGAGAAATCGCGGTTTTTATAGAAACGAATCCTTAATGTAGTTGGTCCGTAAATTGATTTTCTTTGAAATCTCCTCAAATTTTAACAACATATTAATAAAAACACAATGTACATATATGTAAGATTAGAAGAAGACTGACCATATCGAAGCTGAGATAATTGAAATCAAAGTTAGCATTATTTACATGTATCGCAGAAATCTACGGTTTCTGATACAACGTTTTTAATTCTAGCAAACAAACTATTCTTACAGTTGTAATGGAAAACCAGGAGACCATAAAAGAGACTTGTATAGATAATAAAGAAAAAAATTACAAAACCATTTAATTTTCCAGAAATGGATATGTAAAATGCACGCAATTTCTGATAACGGTTGAAGTATACGACAGCTAAGGCCTATGTCGGAACACAGCCGATGGTCTAATGAGGAGAAAGATTAATCGTAAAGATTAGACAAAAATTGTACGAGTTATATCTCACTTCTGAATTAGATATCCTTTTAAAGGCAGAATGGTCAAATATAACCTTCTATAAAGATCTATGATCAATACTTAAAAATGTAAGAAATACCGAAAAATACGGAAAAATCCGATGATCATTTCTTTAGTAACGTACATTCATGTGCGTCTATCGGTACACACACCTATATATATATATATATATATATATATATATATATATATAATATATTCACAGCCATATAACACGGGCAGTCCCAACCAAAAATATGCGTCATAGTACGGAAAACGATGATTATTTTGAATCTTTTAAACATTGTATGAATTTGATTGATATTCTCTTGCTACCTATACAGCATAAATGTTCCAAGGGACACATCCCAGAGACGTTTCAGAGATATTGAACATCTCAACGATGATCTTTTTAACATTTATGCTATATATCATGTTTATAATCATTTAGCACAAATTTGTCGAATTTCTTCTCTATTGTATCAACCATTACTACTTTCTAATAGTACTTTTACGGACTAACTACCTTAAAGAATCACATACGATATCCAACGATTTCTCATAGACTCTCTCACAATGTCTCTTGCACATCGTCCGCGGCGGTATTAACAATACCATCTTTGTTTACGGATAATTTATGACGTCCTAGACGGCTACGAAGTTTCCTGAACAATTGTGGAATGACGATGTTGTTGTAGCACGCCATACCGATTAAAAGAATCGTGAAACCGATGAGCTGCAATGAGAGAAGTGAATTTTATAAGACTGGTCCTCTTTCTGGAAAACCTTTCGTTCCATACAGCACACTTTGTCCGATAGACGCCGTGTAGACGTCCTTAGGACGTACTATTTGGGATGTCCCTTGGATGTCTCATACCTGCACATAATAGAAAACCTGCCATCCAACTGCTAAAGAAAAGGCCCAGATTATAATCGTGCGAACACTGTCTAATATCATTCTTGTTGTAGCACTCATTTCCTTGGTAACGCTAATACCGGCATAATTGAAAAAGGCAATACTGAATATTATGCCTGCAACATAAAATATAGCGTGACAAAAGCCGGTGTTAATTGCATAATAAGAGGAATAGACTGACCGATAATAGCTGCCAATAATTTGCCGCTATTTCCAATTTGTATAAAAGCATCCACGCTGGCCTCGAGTGTGCCGCGTGAATTGTCTGCGAATGGTGGCAATACTTTAATATAATTGAGAGGGATCATGGCGAGAGACATGCCGATAAATCCAAAAATACCTACAAAAGGAATAAATGTATAGAGAATATTCTGCTTATACAGAATTACATCTCTCAAAATCTAAAAGAATTTTTAGACAATTTGAGAAGAGAAATCCCTTAGTGTTCAGGCTGAACAAGCACATAATGTACTAACCCTCCCATCCGATAGCTTGTAACGCAGGTATGTCCTGTTCTCCCACATATTTTTCTTCCACAACCATTTGAACAGCCGTTATTACCTGCATTTTTGCGACTTGAAGATTCATCATATTACGCGAGAGATTTAGCAATATATGATAGTGAAGATTACAAACAACATACAGTAGTAGACCAATAGTAGTAGAGCAATACCTGAGCAAATATAATAAGCAAGTCTCCAGTGAGCACCGAGTTGGTATTCATATTGGTGCTTTCCGCCAATATATCGCTAACGCCAACACATGCTAAACCAACTATAACAAAAAAGATGCCTATCCATTCTCGAGCTACCAATTTCCTGTGAAGAAATGCAACAGAGAATATTCCTGTAAAAACAATCACTGCTCCACGTAACATTTGGAAGCTGCTTGCATAAGTCATGTTCAGGCCAATGTACATTATAGATGTTGCAAACATATCGCATAGGGCAGGTATCAATAAGATAAAAGGATTGAAAATTCTGGACCCCTTGGTGAGTACATTACTATCTACAGAACCATCCTGCAAATAAGTCAATACGATAATCAGTACGGCTCTTGATTCTCGAGGAATGAAAGATGGAGATACCTACGCCTCGTCGATTGTAATAACGATAGAAAATTTTGAACGCTACAAAACAAAGAAACTCTCCGAAGAACATGAAAGTTGATTGCATGAATGGGTGATTGAAATGTCTAATTTGTCCATCCTCACCAACCACCTCTTGTTGGTCCGCGAATCTAAAAACAAATTTCAGTTAAAATCTTAATATCTGTGATAACAAGAGTTTAAAGTATGATTTTAGTTTTTCACAAATTTCGATGAAAATGCGATGCTTGTTCAGCAAATAAACGAATTAATGCGGGTTTTGCGAGAAGTCGAAATTTCGCGCACAGTTCCCATTATGGCGCATGCTCTCACGTACATGACAAGTCTTGTAACCTCAAGAAATTTCTCTTTATTCTTCTTTTAACAATCAATCGCTCTTGTTATATTGTTCAGCAATCATATTAACTCTTCAGGTATTGTTTTGTGCGAGGAAGCACCGAACGAATGTGGTTTCATCAAAACTTGCGAGCCGTGAGAGTTTACCGATTGATCCTCGTTGACTCGGTTTAATTTCTTTACGTGCAATTTTTTCTTCTCTGTACCAATAATAATTATACTTACTTGACCGATAGAGTATTAAACGAGCCTGTAATCACTTGAAGTACAGCTAATATACGTTGGTAGTTCGTCCACGCCATTGTTGCGAAGACAATGGCTTATGGTAAGTAGCAGCCGAGATGACCAAATTGATAACACCTTATCTCAATTGACACTCGATGATTAAATTTCTGTTTTTTTTTTACACAAGTATGCAAAGTCCTGTCCGATGATGAAGTAAAAGACAATATTTTGAATATCGCAAATATCTTGGACCGTTCTACTCGTGCCAATGGCGACTGAGCATATCTCGTCACGAGGGCTGCACAGAAGTAATTGTGCAAAATATCTGGGTAAAATCAATTCTCATCTTTATCTTTTTTATCGGTCTATTGATATTTTATCGGTCTATTATGATCTGACAATAGTATGAGGAACTTTCTTATAAAATGTGCTGAAATAAGTGGCAACAGTCCTATTGAAATGATAGTACAGGTTAAGGTCCTGCGTACAATAGAAGTATGTTAGGAATTAAAAATAAGAATTAAGAACAGTGCTCATTTATATCCTTTTTATCGGTCTGTTATTATCTGACAATAGCATGAGGAACTTTCTCATTAGATTGTGCTGAAATAAGTGGCAACAATCCTATTAAAATGATAGTACAGGTCCTGCGCACAATGGAAATATATTAGGAATTAAAAATGAGAATTAAGAATAGTGCGATTAATGCGCAATGGAGAAAAGAGTGAAATATAAAAATTATGTCACACAGCTGTTCACCTCATTCTGTTATGTGAAAATAATTCCCATGTCTAATAATTTATTTTTATTCCTAATATATGTTCTATTATTCTTAAGGCCTGATAATTCAACAATCTGGTACAAACCGACAGAAATGATGGTATCGCCACCATATGAATTGTTTTGAAGCCAAGACATGGAAATTGTGAATTAAGTCGACATAAAATGACAATTTTATTTTTGCATTTTATGTTTGCATTTGTTTAACATTGAACATTTGACTGCATATAAGCGTGATTGTACTTTAGTATGCGCGTACCTTCCGAATTTTCCTACATCTATATAAACACGGGTGGCAAGTGTACACGTACAGTATGTACATACATGCTCGGTGATATTAAACGAAAAAAAACTCATAAATATTATGTATATATATATATATATTTTTTTTTCTTTTAATAACATACAGCATAGTCTACTTTCTTTGCAAGTTGTATTTGAGTTGTGCACAAGATTAATAACATCGTGATACGTTCCCACGGCTTATAATCTATAACGATACCAACGATAGTTTCGATTAAAAAATCGTGTTAGTTAATTAGTTTCCAAGCAAACATCGGACGATCGCCATCCGCTAAAACTTTCTGCTAATAGTAAAGCAAAAAATGCACACTATGGAATGCGTTTGATAACCATTTCGAGTAGAATTGTTTCAAATTTGTACCCAAATAGACTATAATTGCGTGTCAGGGACGCGTCGTGTTAAAGAATTCTTGCAATCGTCCGATTTGACGCCCTCTCCCCGATTATTTGGGTGATTGCTAAAAAGAAATTTCGAGAGCTAATACAAAAAAATATCTCCTCTGAAAAATGAGAGGTGCTGCTCTTCTACGTGCGTAGCACGCGTGCACATCGAGACACCTGCTTCTCCGCGTCTTTGTTCACACTGTATCCATCTTCCAGTCTTCAAACATAATTGTAACGACATTTAACATTGCGTTATTCGGTCATCTTTAATTGTACTGCTCGGGTAGCACGTAAGAAATGTCATCCCACGGATGACGGTAGAGACCTTGCTTTAATCTCTTCTGGTCCATGTAGTGACCTAAAAAAGAGAAAATTAGTAACACACGTATATGCAAATTAATAACATATGCTGCTGCATGCTTACCGATAAACCCAATGCTCCGGCCAAGGACAAACAAGCTATTTATGGCACCTATTTCGATATATTCCTGCGCCTCTTCTCTCGTAAAAGTACCACTGTTTCGTAGCATGTCGACGAAAGCACAGGCGATAATACCGTCCACATTAAGAATTAAATTAGGCTTCTTGCTGGTCGTGATCTTCTCAACCTCCAGCGCGTACTCAACCAAGGGTTTCGCCGGGAAGTTCTCCAACACGTACTCCTTGATGAGCTTGACGCGCATGTCCGGATTATTGATGGACTTGACACGATGACCGATGCCCATGATCAGCTTGCCCTTTTTGCGCGTATTATTGACAAATTCTTGCGGATGTAGACCGGCGTCGTACGCCTCGGAAAACATACGAGCCGCGCCGTCTAAGGCACCGCCAAAACGATCACCCTGCAATTAACAAGCGTCCTTGGGATCGTACGCCGACAGTCAGAAAAAGATTGCGAAATTTCGGAACCAATGGGGGAGTACTTCTTCTACCGTAGAGATCTTTTTGTGACCGATCATATATGCATAGTTTCCACTTACGATAGTGAGGAGTCCTGAGACGAGAGAGCTGACTAAATCTTTGCCAGCGCGCGCGCAAACGATCGTATTGTGAGCTCCGGAAACAGCCGGGCCATGATCGGCCGTTAACATGAGCGACATTTCGAGGAACTTGCAGTAAGTTGGGGGTAAGCAACGCTGAAACCAGAGAAGCGAGACGACGCCACCGATGCCGACGTTTTGCTTCAATACCTCAGTTACAGGCATACCGGCGTATAACAGCTCCTGTCCGCGTTCGTCGCAAATCGACGTCATAAATGACGCTGGTTTACGTATCAAGCCGAGCTCCTGTTCGAAATATACACGAGAAAAATTAATCGACGGCTCAAGATAATTCATGATGCGAGAGAGAACTCACTCGGGCCCAATTGTAATCCATCGGCACTGTCGGCGGTGGAACTTCGGGTTCCGGTACTATCGTGCCATCTTTCACCAACTGTTCGTAAACGGTTTGTATGAGATCGCCGAGATTGTCGAAATTGTCCGGGACGTATGCGCCGGCAGCCTGCAACGCCGCGTTTTTCGCAGAAGCAGTCTCAAGATTGGTATGCGCGATGGAACCAGCGTGGCCGAACTGAACTTCAGAACTGAACATACTGGCGCAAGTGCCGATGCACCAAGCTACCAACGGCTTGGTGATCCTGCCTGTTTTCAATGCTTCGCACACTTCGTACTCTTCGACGCCACCGACCTCTCCGAGCAATATTATCAGTTTCGCCTCCGAGTCGTTTTGATATCGCATTATGTGATCCATGAAAGTGGTTCCCGGATAACGATCCCCACCGATTGCGACACCTTCCAGTACGCCATTGGAAGCTTTCGAGATTATATTATTTAACTCGTTCGACATTCCACCGGATCGAGAAACATAAGCGACACTGAAAATGACTCTCCGTCAGTCTCGCACGTTTATTACGAGCAAGTGTCGCCGCTATATTACCTGCCGGGCCTGTACAACTTGCTATGAAGTATATTGTCCATCATTCCACCGGTATTGCCGATCTTGAAGCAACCCGGCTTCACACCTCCCACAGTCGCCGGCCCGATGATTGTCACATTCTTTCGTTGCGCCGTTAAAATCAGTTTTCTAGTCATATTTTCAGGTATACCTTCCGCGATTATAGCGATCGTCCTAATTTGGGGAAACTGCAGCGTTTCCATGGTGCTTTCGTAAGCAGATCTTAAAGAGGCAAACGTGACCATTACATCGGCGTCCTTGTGCTTAGTCATAGCGTCTTTCATTTGTTTATAAACAGGAATGAGAACCTAGTGAGAAAAGGGCGGAAACGATATTTTACTACTATGGTATACTGATATTCATTCACAATATTATAGTCGACGATCAAATATCGTACACATGCGATAAGCGCGTTCTCAACCCGAAGACTCACCTCCTTGTGACCCCAATAAAATTTTTGCTTATGATCGCCGGTGAAAGGATAAACGATAGCAGCAACGGACGGCTCAGATCTTCGGCAAACGAAATCGAAATCCAACATGCTCTGTACAGCTCTCGTTTGCATGCCCCAAATGATGGATTTCGTTTTATCGTTGAAAAGTTGTCTGTCGTCGGCTGAATCTACTGTATCTGCGGTCTTTAGTTTAGGCTGCTCTAATGGGGAATGCGAATTACTTTTGGATGACGAAGATGACGGCCCGATGTCTTGGCCCGAAGGTAACAAAAAGTTGGCGGTTGAAAATTCTTGAGCTTCTGGATCGGGAATTGGTTTCTTCCCTAGCGCCATAGCGCATATAGCAGTCATATGTGTCTCGGGACCGAATACATGAACGGGAATTCCTAGGCGTCTGCCAACTTCCCGTATTATCCTGTTCAAACATAATTTCATATTAGTATCTTGCAGATAAATAGCGAGAAATCTCTTTCCCAAGTAATACCTCAAGCCCTCTTGATAATTAGGTCCGGCTCTTCTTACAAAAATTTTTATACTGTACTCCACCAATTTAGGTTGATATTCCTGGAGAGCCTTAACAATGCCTTTAAATGTCGCGGCTACGTTGGTAAAATTGGCGATTCCACCTCCTATAATAAGTACTTTCCCGTCGGTACGCTTCTCTTTCGTCATTAAACTCAGTATCGTCTTTGCGTATTCGTAAGTTTGTTGTTCGCTGGGCGCGCCAGAGTACTCGCCGTAATTGGCCAGCTCATCGGCTGCACCCAAGTCGCAAATCGTATCCGAATATATCACGGACGCACCTGTAAAATTCCATCTAAAACGTTATTCAGCTACACGTAGAGAGCCGTGAAACGATAGGAGATATACTGCACTCGTCCTGCCGCGGTGTACCTACCACCACCGGCAACCATCGTCCATATGCGACCGTTCGGATTGAGAATCGTTAGCTTCAGACTGGCGCCGGATTTGGCATCCAAATCGGCAATGTACGCTTCCTCCGGGTAAGCGTCCCTCCCAAATGGCGGTGGATAGTCGATTTCTCCCCAGTCGGGTCTACATATGAAATCCGCCGTGGTGTCCAGCTTGGCCGCCAGGTCAAGTACATAAATCGCTGTATCCGTTACCACGAGCGGATTAATCTCCAAATATGTAAAATATAAATTAACGTAAAACTTGTAGAGAGATTCGATGAATTCGGCGATCACCCTATAATTAAGAAGGAAAAGAAATGCAACATGTATTATAGTAGAAGCATTCACGATGATTAAATGTCATTACGCTTTTTTATCGTCCATCACATTCGTCAGAAGCTTATCGATCAATGTTGATCGATCGGGTAACTCGTCGCCAACCGGAATGTCTAATTTTAAAGCCTTAGCATCAACATCACCGATATCGACGCCTCCTTGGTGATGAAATAATATCGTATCAGCTTTACGATGAGAATAGATACAGACGTAAGCTTCTTCTTCCTGCAATTACAAGCTGTTATAAACAAAATGGTTCCTCAATTTCTCAGCCGAATGACTTTCCTTCTTTTTTGCTGTTGTAATTTGAGATATGCTTTTCACAAATATATAGTACAAAAAATGGCCAAGAAGATGCCCAAATAACGATCACAATGGGTTTATATCTATTCTGTAGAAGCAATAAGATAAACTCACTGGTTTGTGCGGCACGAACGGCTCGATTATAAATGTTTTCAACTTTCCAGTCGCCTTGCCTACGCGTTGCTCCTTGTTCATGCGTTGCGAAACCCATTCTTGTACTATAGACAAATCCGCATTTACCTTGATCAATCCGAGTTTCCCCCTGCGTTTGATCAACTGATCCGGTTTAACTACTAGTCTCTCTGTTTTAAGCCACGAATGTTCGCTGGCGACGTCGGTCCAATTTATATTTTCCGTAATAGGTACAAATCTGCACTTTGCTACTTTTGTTCCAGGAGGAAATTTGCGATTGATCAGATCTTTTCCAGTTACCTCTCGAATCGCCTTTGCTGCCATTTTTTCCAAATGCCTATCAACAAATCAATAATCAAATGAGACAGATGATTGCATTGTGTGTGTTGGATAAAAACTATCCGACATTTATACTATCAATTTCTAGTTCTCCCACGTCCTTTATTACACACAATTTATCTTGTTTGCTCTTGTTATTTTTTGTATAAATATCATGTTATGTATCTTAGATTAATGGAATATTGATGATTTTTCCTTACGAATAGAGATGATTTATCGTGTTTAAATTTTGATAGATTAAGAAATGCATAAGAGAATTCTACATAAGGAAGAGTACAATATATTACGATCAAATGTTGCAACACACATATTTCGTTGAAATTTATACCGGACAAGATGTATCTAGCAAGATTTCCGACATTCAACTTACACGAGACGAGAGATGTAATTATTACTTGTAACATGTAGCACACATTATAAATCGCGACACACTTTGTGTTAAATTTAATACCTTCAAACGTGTTCGACGAAACGCGAAAACTTGCTGTTTTTTTTTCCCTTGCTGTTCACTCGTTCGTTCGTCGGCTACCAACTGAGCTCTTTCAATGCGACACCGCGATTTGTAGCATCGTGTCTCTTCGCGTGATATCGCAAGATATATCGTATGATTTTACGAAGATCTTTTTATGTTGTGTATTCTCTTTCTTCGTCTATCTCATATACCTACGTGAGCACGTTTTACAGATATCATTTCAGAATATATCAACGCTCGCGAAAAAATATTCCAATCATTTTTTTTTTCTTTGGTGCGCAACCTTATTTGGTGTTTATGAGTAATATTACAATTCCATTTATAAAACATCAGAAAGTTTCTTTTTTCGCATATATTGTGCGTAACGTGTAATTTTAAATTCGGGAAAGAGAATGGGGCNGGGGGGGGGGGGAGAGAGAGAGAGAGAGAGAGAGACCGATGAACATGAATATAGACTCGTCGTTGAAATTTAATGTATCCATAATATGATCAGCTATGTATTAAACATTGTTCACAATCGTATCTTGTGTCACAATATAGTCTTGCTGAATGAATTATCATACAGTACACACGTGATTTCTTATACAGATTCTCTTTACGTCATCAGCACGTAGAGTGCACCACATGAGGATACGTTACGTGTTACAGATGTACGATAAGTGACTGAGAGAAACCAAGAGTCGAAAAACCAAGAGACTCAGACAAAATATAAAATAATAGCCTCTTGATCATACGCACGCGCATTATTATTCCCCTGATAAAAAGAAAGGATGCATAAAATCATATGCAATAAAATCATATGCTAAAATATGTAATAAAAAAAGCTGCAGAGAAGTGAACGCAGAATATGCTTCAGTTCGACGGAGCGACCTTCGAATATTATCTACCTGTAAACGATAAGAAACTGGAAGGAAGACGAAATGCAACGTTTCTCTTTTTTTTCGTGTTGTACGGTTACGTTTTGTGCGGTTAAAATTATGAAACATACATGACCACACACGACGGTTGCGTAAAAGATTAGCATTGTAGATGACACGATGGGCAAGACCTAGATTCATACTTTTGATATAATTTATATTTCTCGATATTAATTCATCTCCCATATCATCTCGTTTTGAAAACTTTCGACATTAATATAATCCGTCTATTTTTCCATCTATTCTCTGTGTGTTCAATTGCGTATCTGCAAAGAGAAAGGACACAGAGAAGAAGAATCGAAGATACTCTCTCTCTCTCTCTCTTTCATTTCTCGAGCGATTGCAAGCAATCGTAGACACACACGATGTTGCGTATTTTACCGTAAATATGATTCCCGGAGAGATGGTCCGCGTAATACGTTGATCAATGTTGCAATAACGTAACGCGCGACAAGCATTAAACTTGCAAAAAGATACATTTTCGTTCGTTATAATCGGAATAATTCGGAAATTCCGTTATTACACTTGTGACGTGTATTCCACGCGTTAAAAAGAAGAATGAGATAACGTGACTACATCCGTACGAAACGTCGCGCGAAACGTCAACAGCGCGCGCCAAGTGAAAGGGCGAATTCGCTGCTAACGGAACATCAAAGAGGTTAATCATGTGTCGTGCACACCCGCCATTGTAATCGACTGTAATGTGTTATCGGCCGATTAGTCATTTAGATTGATACTTACACACCACAAACGACGCGGCTGGCTCTACAACGGTGAAACTTTCACAAATCTTAAGCGGACACTCCGAGGCACATCCACTCACTCGCACCGCCATAAAAAGATTGCTCGAAATTTTTCTCTCGACTGCGTCGCGAGTATTGCCACAATACCGGAGCGAAATACAACAGCGGAGGCATCTTGGCTCAGTCAAGTCGGAAGCAAGTTGACGCGACATCGCGATCACATGCCGATCTCGGGACAATCGTTGTGAATCAATCGAGCGTTTCTCTACGGAGAAATTGAGAAATTTCAACTTCATCTCGTCTGTTTTAAAAACGTCAAATTTCGCGCTTTCACGTTGGCTATGTACAGGCGCCACTGTTGCAAGTGACGTCATATCGAACGATCGTGTTTCCTAGAATATATAATCGACAGTCATGATGCACGAATGTATAGACAGGATGCGTGTATTGAAAATTCTCAATGACTCAAAGAGCAGCTGAAAATGGGGGAGATTTGGCGGAAGTTCGCGCGGTAGCCAATAAACTTCTTATCGAAAAACGGCATGCTGAATGGCAACCACGCGAACTTCCGCCGCATCCTGTGGGCAGAAGCCAATAGTATTATCAGATATGTACGTATATGAGAATGGTCCTTTATTTCGGCTTAAACGAGATTTCGCATACCACCTGTCTGGTGTGTGCACGTATCCTATTTATCGTTTTTTTTCTCTCAATATGACCTAACACAACAGCAGGTATGATATATATATATATATATATATATATATGCATGTAGCGTTTACAAAGGTACCCTTTGGCGGGGATCCACTCTTATGTCCTTGGCACGTACGTCGTAAGCAAGTACAAGCTTCGTCTGCGATCTGCTCTTCTTTGTATTTATCGTATTATCGAGCTTTGTGTTAGAATATATTGCAACCTCGCAATATTCTGATCACTTATCGCAATCATGTCCAGAGACTTGAAGCAAACCATGAAGAAAATTCGACGTGGATCTCGTGGAAAAAAACATCAGAGTATTACATTACGCAGACACAACCAGAAAGTGATATTGGATTCTGTAAGAGATGACATAGATGCCGTCCAAGATAACGTATTAATGGAACTTGGCGCACAACTTGCGATTAAACTCAAGGTTTCCAAGAATTGCAAAATAAAAGTGGACCGTGCGATACATAATTGGACTGCACTATGTGAAACTCAGGAGCAAGTTACATCGAATTCCTCAGGGTATGAAACAGACATTGCACAAGTTAACAAGGTACCTTTGCATGCAAATATATCGTGGGTTTCATGGAATCGCAGATCAGCTAGCGATATAACGCATGACATACGAGATGAAAGCAAGTCGACGGAAGAAGAGAAGGAAATGAATAGAACGACAGCTACAACTAGTTTCTCTAAAATTGATATACTTGATACATGCAAGTTGGTGGATAGGTTGATGGGTAAAGATGTTGAAGTATGTGAAAATGATGCGGAAAACATATCAGACGGAACACAAAATGCTGTTTCGAATTGCAAGTCAAAATTGAAGCTCAAAATGGACAAAGTTACAGTAGCTGATTACTTGTGTTCATCTCAAATACAAGAGAAACATTTAGTCACAAATCAGGTTGGTGTTGCACAAGCTTCTTTATAAAATCTTTATCACTAGAGAATCTATAAGGAAATCCAATTACAAAGTTATGAGCATACATGTGTATACACGGATGTGTATTTATGTTCTTCTCTCTTTATTTTCTTCAGGTTGATGGCAAATCACCGAAGAAAAGTAGAAAAAATAAAATGGCAACTAGAGAATCGACCAAGGAGAATACACAGAAAGAATGGTGTTGCGCTGAGGAAGAAGTGGTAAAGGATAGTGCAGCGAAAAAAACTAAAAATACACGAGAAACAAAACAATCGCCAAAAAACACATTTTTGGACCATATACCTGTGTTAGAAATGAAAGAAATCCTGAAAAATCAGGCGTCCAGTAATGTACAATATAAAAAGGGAACTCTCCGTGTAAACCCTAGATACAGTAATTATGCTTATATAAGCATAGCGGGCGAAGAGCGTGATTTGTTAATAAACGGTATAATTGATAGAAATCGTGCTTTCGATGGAGATTTAGTTGTGGCACGCATAAATTCCGAAGAGAATTGGCAGACACTTGCCAATGGAACGATACAAAAGACTGGTACAGTTGTTTGTATATTAGATAAAGTACATCCGAGGAAGGTAATTGGATGTTTAGCACAACATGTAGGAAAACACCAGCCTTATGTGCTAATCAAGCCAAAAGATTTAAGAGTACCATTGATTAGAATATATTCCAAGTCGTTGCCAAGCTCATATCATAGTCAGCCAGACCTTTATAACAATGCGATATTTCTTATCGTTATTAATCGTTGGGTACAGCCGAGTTACGCATCAGGGTAAGTCTGCATCAAGAGAAATTTATGTTTCAATTTTTTGAAACGGGACTCAGCGTTATATGGTTGTTTTTACATAGGAAGGTTCTCCAGATAGTAGGTGAAGCTGGTGACTTAAATGCTGAATTAATGGCGATATTACTTGAAAACAATTTGGATATATTGCCGTATCGACAAGAGCTGCTGCAGGGGCTTCCCAATGGTGATTACGTCTTGACAAACGCTGATACGAAGGGCAGAGAGGATTGGAGGAACGAATGTGTCTTCACAATAGATCCCGTCACAGCTGTCGACTTGGACGATGCCGTTTCTTGTAAAGTCTTGAAAAACGGCAATTATGAGGTAATCGCAATGAATAAGCAAGTCAACATTTTTAATCGTTCTTTCCTCTTTCTCGCACGTGTGTGCGGTTGTCGCAGTGATATATTTCGTGGATTTTAGGTTGCAGTACATATATCAGACGTGACGCATTATTTAGAATTCCTCTCTCCATTGGATGAAGAAATTTCTAAACGAGCTACCACCGTTTATTTACCGCACACGTCTTACCATATGTTACCGGAACAGCTATGCAGAGTCTGTTCTTTGTTGCCTGGCAAGGATAAATTAGCTTTTTCTGTCATTTGGGAACTGACACCAAACGCCGAAATTGTGAAACATCGTTTCGCAAAGACTGTAATAAGGTCATGTTGTCAAATGTCCTATGACTCTGCTCAAATTATGATCGACAACTCGGGAGGATCTTCATCCGAGAAGGATCTGAACATAAAGGGAGATTTCACGGCCTCGTTATTATCCGTTGTAGTGAACAATCTATTTAAATTGTCGGTTATTTTGCGAGATAAACGATTTGCTAACGGTGCGCTCAACTTGAATCAACCAAAGATACACATATGTATGGAGCCTACGATCAGTCGGGAGTATGGAATTCCAATACCTGTCAACTATCAACTGGAAGAGAAGAAAGACAGCAACAGGTGCGATTTTCTATTAGCATACGTTCGTTCGTTCGTACGCACGCGAGAGGGAAGGAGGAAAAAATGATTTAATGTAACAGTTATACAGTTATTTTTGCTCAATTTGCGTACTTGTTTCAGGCTTATAGAAGAATTTATGTTGTTGGCAAATATGACGGTTGCCGCGCAATTGTATAGCACGATTCCTGAAACGGCTTTATTACGTATCCACAGAGATCCGATCAAGCATAGTCTTGTAACAACTTGCGAAACATTGAGGAAATACGGAGTCCATTTAGATATTGAGACAGCTGGAACCTTATACGCCAGTATCCAACGCTATGAGAAAGATCTATTAGAATATAATTCTAGCAAAATTAATGATACCCTGCAATATATTATGATGGTTATCACGAATGTGTGTTCAAAAGCTATGGCAGTAAGAGTTCATTGAATTTTTTTTTTTTTTCTATTAACAATGATTAAAGATGTACGTGCGCGCGCGAGCACGCGCGATAAAAAGTGTTGACGTTTTACAGCGTGCGGAATATAAATGCGCATCTACCGTTTCCTCGATCAGTGACTTGAGGCATTACGCATTGAATGCGCCACTTTACACGCACTTTACTTCACCTATTCGAAGGTATCCCGATTGCATAGTTCATCGTTTGCTCTATGCAACGATCGAGAACAAGCCTTTGCCGAAGAAATGGACGGCTAGATTTTGTTCCAAGTATATATATATATTAACGATGTATGTGCGCGAGAGATATCGCACGTGATTTGTAAACTTTCTACTTTCGATTCCCGACAGGATAGCAAACAATTGCAACGTGAAGAAGTACAGTGCAAAGATAGCGCAAGAACAAAGTACCGAGTTATTCTTTGTGCATATGGTAGACCTTGCGGGAGGTTTTGACACTCCGGCTATCGTCGTAGAGGTGAAGGAACACAGTATGGATATTATTCTCTGCGATACCGGAATCAAGTTGAGGGTGTATTTTAAAGACATACAACCTACCACTGCCACTGTGGAATATTCTGCAGATTTGTCGGTACCAACCGTAACTGTTCAATGGAAGACACCTCCTATTACACAGGTATCACGCTTTATACAATCAATATCAGTAAAAGTGTGTTGTTTCAACGTGCCACCAACTATGTTTTTTTCAGATAATCAATATGTTCTCCTTAGTACGTGTACGAGTGGAGAAAATTAGCGAAAAATTTCGCTTAAAAGCTAACCTCCTTCCACAGTAGCGAGGTGATGCGGGAATTTGTAACATTTTTGTTTTTGTATTTTTTTTACAAGGTAAATGACTAAGTTTGCGTGGTGCGTCGGTGTATGTGCACAGTGTGTATTCACAAGTAATGAATAATGATTGTCAGTACGCATTCGTGAATGTGTATCAACCAGCATATGTCAATTGTACAAAATATGCGCGTTTTAATATAGTTCTGATATATAGTTAATGTGTTTATAAATGTATTAACGTATGTAGAATATGTATTGTAAGATACATTTACAAATGCAAATTTAAAATCGCCATTCGTTACTCGTGAGTGCACTTTGCGCCAATTTGTCTGCCGGTAATTTATGCAATATGACGAATCATTATGACGAGAGAAATTCTTTTTTTCTTCCTTTTTTATAATGTGTATATAGAGTTGGAATCATACATTTATATGTTGTATTGGAAAATATTAATTCTACAAATTTGGGGGATCACAGATGATAATTGCCAAGAATACAAAAAGGAGATAATTTGCAATTATTGTCGGATTAAAAAATTTATAGAAATTTATATTGTTAAAGCGCAAAAGAGAACAACATTTCAATTTTAAACGTATCACGTATATATATATATATGTGTGTATGTATATATATATACACACACACACACGCGTATAACGTTCTTGTAGAGGAGATTTCTTCCTATTATTATTGTATATAAAAAAAACTGAATCAAGCAAGAGTCTCACTTGAGAGACCATATGAATTTGTACATATAATCTTGAACCTTGACAATTGTAAATTTGAACAATATTTTTTAACTTAAATGAAATTGTGTATATCGCTTTTTACAATGTGATCTACCGATTCAAGATCAAAAATATTTTTTACATTATTTTACATGAGATTGTGATATGTTAATTTCTTAAGCATCAAATAAGCATTCGTTTTTTCTACGCACACAGATAACAAAGCATCTGAAGCAGTACTTACTCTGAATCGTTGTTAAGTGTGACATATATATACTTTAGCGAAGCGCAAATTTTGTCACTATAAACATATGTGGGTAAAATATATATGCGTATGCAATTTCTCATCAATTTACATGCGGCTTTGAACGATATCATCGTCTCGTGAAAACTGTAATTAATATCAAGTCACGTAGATGCGTTTACGTTGCACACAATATAGCATTTTTTATTGTAAAATATTAATTTATTGCAAATACGACGTATATACGTGTACAATCGAATGCATTAACGCTCTCCGATGCATCTGCGCTCGTTTTGGTGTGTGACACTTGTAATATGTGTATCTTCTCGCTTGTATAGTTAACAGCACAACTATATATGAGAGAAAGAGGGGGGGGGGGGCGGCAACTTACGATTATAACAAGAATCATCAAGTTGCACGTGATGTCTTGCAAATGCGGACGCATCGGCGGAGTTAACGCATCTGATTGTACATATTATATGTTATGTACTTGTATGTGACTTACACACAAATACTATGTAAGTCCATTTGAATGGTCAGTTCAAGAACTTGACGATACACGAAATTTTACTTTAACTTGCGTACGTATTTGTATAATATATTATATAATTTGCGCACAACAAAACTTTTGATTTGCTCAAAATAATTACCTGCCAAATATACAGATTTCTACAAATTTTATCGAACAAGTCAAATCCTGCGTTACACCACAGATGACTTGATAATTGTGCATGCTTGATATTGACTTTCACATCTCTTTTGTTTTCTTCATCGGTCTAAAAGCGAAAGAATTCTCGAGGTATTGCACATGACGCATCCTGTCGCATCCCTACATCCGTTTTTGCACCAAACTATCTCAGAATCATTAGTGATTCTCTCTGACGAATAAATAAAAGAGTCTCTTCGTTTCTTCTCGACGTATTGCAATAATACTTGCAGCAGGCAGCTCGATCGACATCAGTAGCTTCACAGAAAGCAGGCAGACTCGTTGAAACGATCGCAACGGAATATCGCACGACGCAACTTGAGCTGCGAAGCGATACACACACGCACACACTAGATAACAGTCTTTTTTTTTTATTTATTTGGTATCGCTCTTACATCGATAAATTATAATATTAAAAATAAAATCGCGTGACACTAAATATAAATTATTATTTATCGTAGATGTTGAAGAATGTACACGAAGCTAATCCTATAATTCACCTTCCACCGTAACAAATATTATGCTTAGCGGCGCCGTTAGCTCGACCGCTGCGACTGTTGCTGCGTCTTATTGCGATGTTCGTAATTGACGAGCCTCTGCCCCACAAGATACTTGTCGTTCTTAATGTGCTCGTACAGCTTCTTAAACTGGCGTATCTGAAAGCCGATCACGACGCAAACCAGGCTCACTAGAAGAAGGAAAGGATACAAGCGTCTGGCGATGAGGATCTGAGTCTGTAGATTGGTCACTAGAAGGGGAACTATCCCGTGGGCCACGGCGTAAGGAACCGCGAGGGCGAGACCGAAGCAACATATGACCGGCGCCGCCAGTTCCGTAACGACGAACTTAAGGTCCATGTCCCTGATGCCGTCGTTGTACGCGCGCTCGATAGCGAGGCGTATCCGCCAGTCGGGCCCCATCATCGTCACAGCGGTGGCTATTTTCGTATAGAGCACACCCAACGCCCAGTCTTGCCAGATGAACAAGATGGGATTCTGCTCGAGCGGGACGCGCAATGGCACCACCACCACCAATTCAAGGAGGAGACCGAACAGGAGCGGTATCACCCCGACCAATAGTACGAACGCCACCGAGGCCTTCATGCCCAGGATCGCCCAGTGCTTGATCCGATCCAGGATGGCCCTGCGACCGCGAGGCAGCCAAGAGAAGGCCAGTACGAGGCCTCGCGCCGCGGCCCAGCATACGTACGTGCCGCAAGCCACCGTGTACACCTCGTGCACCCTACCGGAGAGAGGCCCCACGCTCTCGCCGCCATCTGGAAGATGATTGACAGTATGATAGTGGAATATTGGGGGGGGATCGACTCACCGGGTCCGGTTAACGTTGGTGGCAGCACGGGCGGCGAGGGAGCGGGCGCTCCCACCATCCATAACGCCATCACTCGACGTCCGAGCCATACGGGTAGCGTCATCGCCACTAAACTAGCGATCACGAGGGACACGCAGACGCAGAGCACGAGGCCGACCAGCCGCGCGGGGAACCAGCGCGGTCTGACGTACGGTTGAAATCCCGTGGGTCCCTCTCGTTGCAGCAACGCCTGATGCGCGGCGCCCAAGTCGGGGTGTTGCGGCTCCTCGACGACCGCCGGTTCCGGATCGTCCGTCTGATCCCGCAGAAGGTACGACTGCAGATCCAGCATCCACGCGACTACGCGGCACCACGCCCTCACGAGGGCCTTCAGCCACGTGCGTGTGTGCGATTGCTCCAGCAATGCGGGTAGTATCACTTGCAGCAGCAGCAGCTCGAGCGAGAGCTCGCTCACCTGGGCCTCGCTCTGCACGGTCACGGTGTAGGGTAGAAATCCCGGCCAAGCCCATCTGAGGATTTTGACGGGTAGCCACAGCATCAGCAGGATCACCGTGTCGAATATGATCGCGGACGCGAGCAGTCGCCGCACGTGTCGCAGTATGGGAAGATGTATCATTTCTTGTATAGGGGAGAAGTCCGGATCGTTGATGTTGCGCACGAACCAGACGACCCCGGGTCGCAGAACCTCGCGCAGAAGGAGAATGAACGCCGCGAAGTAATACATGTAGACCGTTCCTACCAGCCAATGGATGAACATGGACGTGCCGGGAGCGAGTCTGAACGAAGATTCTCTATCTCTGAGCGTGGCGTCAAACATTGCCAGCGAGCAAATGTCCAGCCACCAGCCGTAAACTAATGGAAGTACACCAATCTCCACGACGGAGAGCAGGGAGACCTTAACGATCACGTAACAGAGCCCCAGGATTCGCTGGGAGCGTTGAAAGCCTAGCAACGCGGCTAGAGTGTGAAGGAACATCAGACAAACGCCGATGACACAGTAGCCGCACAACGTCGTCACCAAGCCTTCGAAATGCGAGGCCGCCGCGTGCTCTTGCAATCCTAATCCCGCTATTGCGAAGTGACCGATATGATAGGGGCAGAAGGCGAATACCTGTAAGCACAGGTCATCGCGACAAATCGAGAGAGAGAGAGAGAGGATTATTTTTACATTCTCTTCGCGACTCACCATAATAAACAGGGTGTTCAGAGACACAACCCAGAAGACATGCTCGAGAAAAACGAGGGACCCGTCCAATCCCAACAGACGCTCCCAAGTCAGTTCCTCGGCTGGCCTATCCCACTCCATGGGATTCCAATTGGCCTCCTCGGCCTCGCCCTGCGCTTGACCCACTACATGCGCCTGTACCACGTGTCCCCTCATCCAACCCTCACCAGCCACAGCGTTCGCTTGTGCGTCATCCGCACCGAGTTCCTCCCCGATCGGAAGAAGTGGCGGCACGTCTCTCGCTAAGTCCACCGGCTCGCCGATTTGCGGATTGTCAACCATATTTTCCGCCACTTCTTGGTACACAGGATGTTGATCTATGTACGTTCATCGTACGTTAGATAAATGGTATATCCAGTGAAAGAGAGAGAGAGAGAGATACCTTCGTTAAGCAGTTCTCCTTCCTGTGGGACAGGTGGATCGTCGACGAAAGGTGGGACGTTGTTGTTATCTGGAACTTCCTGTGGCATAGCGCGCTCCTCTTGAGCTTGCTGCGGCTGTTGTGCATTTGCCGGCGGTGGATTATCAACCAGCGGTATCTGCACATTATCTCTCTCGAGCCAATCGGGACCACCCGCATGCAGGATCTGTTCTCTCAACCAAACCAGACCGATGAACGCAAATAGGGTGCAAGTGACTACGAAACAACCATGAAATACATCCGAAGAGATATTTTCTGTGGATAGCATATCCATCGGTAACGACATAATCTGCAAATACAAAATGCGATTGTTCATTTCTTTAAAGCTGCGAGTCCGCACATACCGTCGTCACTTACTCGTACTAAATCCAACGGACCACTGAACAGAGCTCTGTATGTACGATACGCGGTCAAAGGAACAACTCCTAGCCAAGCGATCGCCACTAAAGTATAATGCAACCAATACTTGACGGCAGTGAGAATGCTTGAGAATAAACCACCTATGACATCTCTTAGTGGCAAACGACGCGGCATGTCCGGGCTGTATATAGGTGTAAATGAGAAACGATGGCCACAGAGTTCACAATATTCCTTGCGGGAGTATCTCATCCACTGCATCAGACACTCTTGATGTATCCATTTTATGCTGCCTGTGCAAATGCAGGGATGAAACAGTGGTCTGTCTGTCAGGCCCTCCGAACGGCAGACCCTGCAGATATCCGCACCTAGCATGTCCTCCGTCATGGTGCTTCGTGTTTCAGGTAGAGTTGTGTGTCACACTATAGTGAGGAGTCAGAAATGACTTTTTATCACTGAAAATCAAACACACAACTGGTTTGTAAATAGCATAAACGATTCTTTTTTATGGCAGCTCAACAGATGTGCTCAGTTTGGTTGTAGAAAAACATTGACATAAAATGCGTTACAATAACACAAAGGATGTCTCGTTATACATAATATTCTACCGTTTTTAATTTTTTATCGAACAACACGTAATTGCGCGTTTATATTGTCGCGAAAAATGACAGTCAACCGCGTTGGACATTTCAGCGGATAACGCAATGTACAAATTGCACCAATAGTTACGAAACACGTCCGTTAGCGGAGCTATATTTCACGAAAATTATTCGACAGTTCCGTGAGATCTCTGTTGCAAAATAGAAAGCACGTTATTCGACGCACGCATAGCCGCGATAAGCACACATACGTCTATCACTAGAATATCGATAACATTTTCGTACAGCGGCCGGATACTCACGTCTGCTCGAATAAAAATACATCGAGTCGAAAATTATCGTGTAAAATATCGAAAAACGTCTACTGCTACTTTTCCAGTTCTTCCTATCATGCACGTACCGAAACTTGCGAAATGTAAAAGTCACCAGTGTCGTCTAACACTCCGAAATGTACTACAGGCGGTATGTGCCAAAATACCCTATTCGTGCAAGGCATTTTTCATCACTTAAATTGCACAGGCCGATAAATAATTTTAGTATAATCTGGACGGAAGTTCGTGCAGTAAGCCAATCAACACGCCGGTAAGAACTAGTTTATCGCGCCAACTTCCGCCGCGTGCCGTATGTTGTAGCTTCTAAACGAGCGATAAACATTCGTTCTTATTTATCTTAATAATATCAATCGTTATCGCTTGTATGTATTCAGAAATCTTATACAAAAGCTAATCATAACCAAACATTTTATAACGCAATCGAGAACCATGTTATGGCTTTGTTCAAATTATATAAAGTAGCAGATTGTATATCGTGCGGCCCGATAGTCCAAAGCACGGTTAGCAATTTGTGCAAACTCTCAAATGTTTCTTGTTTCGTAAGACGATACTTTTCGAAACGCGTCATGAGAGTACTCAATGTCGCTGAGAAGCATGATGCTGCTAAAAACATTGCTGCCCATCTGTCACGTGGCAGCAGCAGAAAGGTAAACGATATATTTCACATACACTTGTGTGCGAAACAAACTGTTCGCATAAATCTGCAAGCAATCGATTTTATTCAATACATTGTTACAGAGGGAAGGTTTATCCGTCTATAATAAAATCTTTGAATTTAATGTACAACTATGGGGGCAAAACTGCCAAATGGTAATGACATCGGTATCCGGCCACTTATTAGGCTTTGAATTTAATGGAACTTATCGTAAGTGGCAAGGTTGTCACCCGTTGAGCCTATTTGATGCTCCAGTATTCAAACAATGTTCCGAGGAAAGTTATATCAAGATCAAAAAGACTCTGGAGCGAGAGGTACGGTCTTGTGGTGCATTAATCATCTGGACAGATTGCGACAGAGAAGGGGAGAATATAGGCTTTGAAGTCATACAGGTCTGTCAAGCGGTCAAGCCAGATATTCGCATTTATAGGTAATTGAATGTCTCCTTTGTTTGCCTAACAATATCTGCCAAGTTTCCCCATGTTTCAGAGCAAAATTCTCCGAAATTACAAAGCAGTCTATCGAGAGAGCATTACAAACCTTGGGAGAACCTGACAAAGCAATGAGTGATGCTGTAGACGTAAGAAGCGAATTAGACTTAAGAATTGGTATTGATTCTGTAAGATTTATGCCAAAATTAATCAGGAGATTGCAGTCGAGTTCTAATCGATCTGTGTATGATAGGTGCAGCCTTCACTAGGTTTCAAACATTGAGACTGCAGAAGGTGTTCCCCAACACTCTCAGTGATATGCTCATCAGTTACGGCAGCTGTCAGTTTCCGACCCTTGGGTTTGTAGTCGAGAGATTCCTAGCTATCGATCGATTCAAGTCCGAGCCATATTGGAAGATCAGAGTGACCGACGATCGCGATGGGATATTCGTGGAATTTAGATGGGCCAGAGTAAGACTGTTCGAGAAAATGCCTTGCCAGATCTTTCTGGACATGTGTTTGGAACGACCGGAAGCCACGGTGGAGAAAGTAACGTGCAAGCCGAAGAGCAAATGGCGACCTTTACCCTTGGATACCATTGTAAGTAGCCGATGAGTTGTACGAAAGAGCCGTATTAAGAGATATTTCGATCGATTTAGGAACTAGAGAAACAAGGCTCGCGTAAGCTACACTTGAACGCGAAAGAGACGATGAGGGTAGCGGAGAAACTGTACACTCAGGGTCTCATCAGTTACCCGCGCACAGAGACCAATATATTCCCGAAAGAATTGAATCTGGCCGCTTTGGTGGGACAGCAAGTGAACAATCAGGCGTGGGGTAACTTTGCGCGCGGTCTACTAGAGTCCGGGATAACTCCCAGGCAAGGGAAGAAGAGCGACCAAGCGCATCCCCCTATTCATCCTACCAAGTACATCGACGGTTTGCAAGGTACGGTTTGTTGTTCCACAATATCAAGTTGAATCGCTGATCGCTGATCGATTGATTGTTGACGATTGAAGGAAACGAGGCGAAAGTGTATGAATTCGTGGTTCGGCATTTCTTGGCTTGTCTGTCGAAGAACGCGGAAGGTCGAGAGACAACGGTGGAGATCGACATAGCGGGAGAGAAGTACACGGCTAACGGTCTTCAGGTCGTAGCGAAGAATTATCTCGATGTGTACATATACGAGAAATGGAGCGACAAGCAGATTCACTCTTATCAGCAGAGGCAGGTCTTCAGGCCTACCAGCATAGACATGGTGGAGGAGAAGACCTCGCCGCCAAATTTATTGACCGAGGCTGAGTTGATTGCACTGATGGACAAACACGGTATCGGCACGGATGCCACTCACGCCGAGCATATCGACACTATCAAATCCAGGCAGTATGTGGGTTTGACGAACACTCAGCACTTCATGCCGGGCAAGTTGGGCATCGGTCTGACGATGGGCTACGACAATATGGGCTTCCAGATGTCTAAGCCGAATTTGCGCGCCGATTTAGAGAAGGATTTGCAATTGTGAGTGTGTGTGTGCGATAATTATTACATCCAAAACAGTGAGTGTGTAGAAATTACTTGAAATTATGCCGGCAGGATATGTCAGCGTCAAAAAGATCCGAGCGAGGTATTGCAAAGTCAAATTAACAAGTACCGCGAAGTGTTCAAAGTAGCGATAGAGCGCGCTAATCTCATAGATGATGCTTTAGCGCGTTACCTCGATGAAAGGCCTATTCAAAGTGAGGAAACGCAATTCGTCGAAGACGTCAGCATTTTCAAGTGTCCAAAGTGCGGCTCCAGCATGGTTTTGAAAGACAGGAAGCAAGGCAGAGGAAAATTCATCAGTTGTACGGGCTATCCGACATGTACCAATGTGATCTGGTTGTCGGAAGCTGTGGAAGACGTCGAAGTCTTGAGCGAGACGTGCGATCAGGTAACATCTTGGCGAATGGCGATCGAATATTTCGCATTGATACACATAAATAAATACTATTGATTTCCAGTGCACAGAGAATATGCGCAAATTAAAGTTCAAATTGGTCAGGAATGTGATACCCTTGTATGGTACTTGTTATACTACTTGCATAGGCTGTGATTCTTCATTCAATGAGATGTTGAACATTAAGGAAGATTGCATCCGGCAAACTGGAAGGTCGAATTACACCGTCCACAATAATACATCAAGTTCTACCACATTTCAAAGCTCAGCGATTGGTTCTGCTCAGCGACAAACTGGAAGGTCGAATGCCACTTCAAGTACATCTCAAAACTCAGCTGCTTCGACAGTCGGCTCTACTCAGCGCTTATATCAAACGGTCCCCAACATTTCGAACAGGCCAGTGAATAGAAGAAATACGACTATAACGACTGATAACGCCGATCTCTCGACGCATGAGTGGTGGGATAGTTTGGAAAACAGATCGTCTGAAAATCCTCGCGATACGGCCAATAAAACTAACACGTGGGGTAATATCGACAATAACGCTGTGATCATGTGCAACTGTCACGAGACAGCGATACAACTGACGGTGAGGAAAGAGGGGCCGAATAAAGGTAACAAAAAATTTATATATTTTCTATTCTCTCTCATGATGGAAGTGTTTGTATGCGCTTCTATTGGAACACTCTTCAACTTTCGTCATCTATTTGTGATCACAGGACGCTTATTTTACAAATGTGCCAAGCCACAAGGTAGCGGCTGCGATTTTTTCATGTGGGCCGAATCTCGGACTGACACAACAAACCAACATTCCGATCGGCTAACCAATCTGGATAGAAATGACGCGCAAAGCACCGGTCATTTTTCTCGCGTCACCTCTGATTGGGGAAGCAGCTCAAACGATTGGGGAAGTAGTGCATCGTCAAACGATGTCATGTGCCAGTGTAATCAGCCCGCTCGAAAGTAAGTGCACTCTCTTAAATTCTCTTTGGTAGGAAAACAATGAATACACAGTGATAAGCGGTGCAGCTAGATTTATCAATCTTAAAGGAACGTAACATCACATATAGCTGCGACTGCATTTCTTTCGTTGTATTCACATTTGCACATTTATCCAGGCTTACAGTACACAAAGAAGGCCCAAATAAAGGACGACAATTTTATGGATGCCCAAAGGGTATGAACAGCACTTGTAATTTTTTCAAATGGGCAGATGAAAATACAGATTGGAGCAATTCTTCTGTAAATAGTAGAGGAAGTAGAGAACGTACCAGAGGCGGTAATGCCCCGAAACGGCCCAAATTAACTGGTGGTAAGAGAAAGTGCGGCATTTGCGGAGTCGAAGGTAAAGAATATAACATTTTCTAACTTTTTCAAAAGATACAACTTTTTATTGTATGATATTATCTCTCTTTATTATATTCAAACTATATACATTGTTTTCTTCTTGTTCTCTTTTGTTTTTCATACAAGGTCATACGAGAAAAACGTGTCCGGAAAATGTAATGGACTGATGCGCCAATTTTCCTCGATACAATATTGTAAATACTGTACAGTTGCTTCGAGTGTGATTATTACTTTTTGTAAAGGAAACTAAAGTCTTTACTTTTTAAGACTTGACTTGTGCCTTCTTAAACTAAAGATATTCATAAATATCAAACTGAAACATGATCTTTTAAACAAGTACCTGAATCGATCGGTATTATCTTATAAATACTATTTAGAGAGTTTCTAAGGATAAATATAATAATATTTATATTGAGTTAGGTCACTAGTCTCTTGTGAGGAAAATTATTCTTTAGTTTCTCCAATTCTTCTTTTTGTGAATGAGCCTCGGCAGTTGTTTGAGTTAACTGTGAAATAGTTATAAGAATAAACGCCATTCTGTTAACAATTATTACTACATGTCGCTGTTAATAATACTGACAGATGGTTACTTAAGGTATCTTACTATTAGCAAAAGCAAAATTTGGAAGAAAGTTACCATGTCTAATAGTACGTCAAACTTTAATTTCAACAAGTTATTCTCCTCTTCTAATCGTTTCACTTCCTTTTTTAGTTTCTCGTTTTCCTTAAAAGTGCTGCCTACTTTACCAGATTCTAAAATAAAATTTTCCTTTTCGCTCACTGAAGCAAAGATACATTGACAACAATGGCGAAACAACAAAGTTATTCACCTGGAATCCAAATTCCTGACTCAAAGACAGCTTCTTGATCTCCAAGATGAATACGTATAGGTCCCACTTCTGCACCAAGTTCCTTTTCTATTCGTTTAGGACTTAAATTTTTATTTGCCAAGAAAACCGATGCCTTCCTAGTCGGTGTTTTTTTGGGAGAGAATTTATTAGAGAATAAAGGCATCGCGCGTCGTCGCACTCTTCGTCGTATGACTCTACTAAAATCTCTACGAATAACATTAACAAGTTGTTGTTAAAAACAAAAGATGCGATTGAAAGTTTTATTTTGAACGCAATAATTGTTATATTTTACATTAGAGTACATCAGAAATACTTTATGTACAAATACATTTTAATATGTAGTTGAATTTTGGAGTGTACGCGAAATAGATCATGTTTGTTTACAATGGTGTTACCTAGGTAATGACGGCTATGTTTCAAAATTCACTAGCTTCCTGGTGATCGAAACACCTAACCTTACAACTAGTGATCACCACCCTTCGCGACGGAGCGTTTGCGACGTATTGTAGAACGAACAAACTCCGATTGGTGGGACCCGATTGACCACATCGATTTGACGTCACTAGAAAATCACCAAATCACGGTTGGTTGTGGGGGAGTAATGTACACAGCCAATCACACACCTAGAGACATTTTCCTTCCTTGATGGTTGGTGGTAGTCAATTGTAACGTGGTCAATCGGGATCCTCCTCATTGGCGAAACTGATTCCACCAAGTGTCACACGCTATCGTGTTCAAGTTATTTAAAACAACTTCATAGTTCAACGAGAAGATCAGGTTAAGTTTACCAGTTTGATAGGATCACGTCACGAGTAGTAAAAGAGCGACGTTGTAAGGTACGGACGAGTTGTCATGCCGCTTTTTTTGTTTTAGTAACGCAATCTTGCGTAATGTTTTGACACGACACCCGTATACGTCTGTTGAATTGTGAGATATTTAGCGAAATCACTTACGACGTCGCGGCTGTATCATGTCCTGGATAGGCGCGATAGCGAATAACGTGCTTCGTAACATCGTCTACACGGACACGCCGCCAAATGTCGTGCAGGAAGTTCGGCCGGAACATTACAGCAATCGGCATATCCATTCCCGCGAGGATGGCATTGTACTGTACGGACCCGGTGACAAAAGTCAGAAGTATGAGATTGTATTGCACAGACCCTGCACGGAGACCCTTCACCAGGCGTACAGGTATATGTTACGTACAATACATTTTCGTTCCTTTCTCTCCCTCCTCTATAGTTTGTTTATTTCTCAATTGATTTGTTCCCATCAGCCTGTTTAGAGCGGAATCCCTAGATGCAACGGTGGACAGATTCATAATATACAAGGATAAAGTACCAGTGCTGGTACAGATAGTGCGCGAGGTAACTTTTCCATTGCAAATATGTTTGCGAAAGGATAAGTGTATATATCGAGCAAATTGAATCTGGGCACGATTGAAAAAGGAAAGGTTGGTTATATAATGTTGATTTGATTTCCTTTCAAGATGTGCAACGTCGCAAAGATACAAAAGCTTTGCGACATTCTGACGGAGCATCCCACGTGGACACTAGCGCATCTGGCGGCGCAATTCGCGCTCTACGACGCCTTCTCGCACGCGATAGTCAACAGCGAGCTGAACAGCGGTGACCTGGAGAGCGGTATCTCGCCCCTACAGGTGGCCGTGCAGACCAACAACCTGCGCACCGTGCAGATGCTGATAGCGGCCAAGAGCTCGCTGGAGCATCTCGATCACAACGCAAACACCGTGTATCATTACGCGGCTACGTCGACGAAAGAGATCATTCTGGCTTTGGGAGCCGGTCTACCCAACAGTCTGAACAGTCGCAACAGCAACGGGCATACTCCCATACACGTGGCGTGTCACAACGACAAGCCCGAGTGCGTGAAGGCGTTGCTGCTGATCGGCGCCGACGTCAACATACCCGCGACCGAAGGCCCGGAGCCTTCGAGCCCCGGCTACGTCGGCGATTTCTTACACAACAAGCCGAACGTGCTCCACTCGGAGGACATGAAGTTCGGCGGCACGCCGTTACATTGGTCGCGCAGCCGCGAGGTGATATGCGCGCTGATCGAGACCAACTGCGACATCGACGCGCTCAACTTCGACGGTCGCACCGCGTTGCACGTGATGGTGATGCGCAAGCGGCTCGAGTGCGTGGTGGCGCTGCTCAGCCACATGGCGTCCGTCAACATGGTCGACAAGGAAGGCAACACGCCGCTGCACCTGGCTGTGGAGCCGGCGATCGTGCAGGCGCTCATCGGCTTCGGCGCCGATCTCGACGCCCGCAACTGGAAGTCGGAGACGCCGTTGCACAGGGCCAGCACCGACAGCACCGACGGCAACAAGATCATCTATCTGCTGCACGCGGTCGGCGCGCAGCGGTGCCCCCTCGAAATGACAGGCTGCCATCTCGGCTGCAAGTTCAACGAGACTTACACCGGCATCGCGCCCTCGGAGCCGCCGCACCACGTGACGCGCACCGTTATCGATCAGATGCTGCACGTCTCCGGCATGGATAAGATGACCATCGATGAGAGGAGGACGGTGAACGGCAGGCTGCTCTGCCTCGACGGTGGTGGTATTCGCGGTCTGGTGCTCATCCAGACGCTGCTGGAGATCGAGTCGGTGCTGGGGCGACCTGTGGCGGAGTGCTTCGACTGGATCGCCGGCACGTCGACCGGCGGCATACTCGCCCTCGGTCTCGCCGCCGGCAAGTCCCTGCGCGAATGCCAGGCCCTCTATTTCCGCATCAAGGAGGACGCCTTCGTGGGCTCGCGTCCGTACAACAGCGAGGGCCTCGAGAAGGTGCTGAAGGAGTGTCTGGGCGCGGACACCGTAATGGCGGACATCGCGAGGCCAAGGATCATGATAACCGGCGTGCTCGCCGACCGGAAGCCCGTCGACCTTCATCTCTTTCGTAATTACGAGTCGCCCGGCGCTCTGCTGCAGGTGGCGGAGAACGCGATGTTCAAGCGCACGCTACCGCCGGAGGAACAGCTCCTGTGGAAGGCGGCGAGAGCTACCGGTGCTGCGCCGTCGTACTTTCGAGCCTTCGGTAGGTTTCTCGACGGCGGCCTGATCGCGAACAATCCTACTCTGGACGCTATGGCGGAGATACACGAGTATAATCTGGCGCTCAAGGCCACCGGCAGGCCGAAGGAGGCGACGCCGCTGGCACTGGTAGTCTCCCTCGGCACCGGATGCACTCCTACGACCTACGCTCTCAAGGAGATTGACGTTTTTCGGCCCGAGAGCCTCTGGGACACCGCGAAGCTCGCCTTTGGCATCTCGGCGCTCGGCACGTTGCTGGTCGACCAGGCGACCGCCAGCGACGGTCGAGTGGTGGATCGTGCCAGAAGCTGGTGCTCCATGATCGGCGTCCCGTACTACAGATTCAATCCGCAGCTGTCGACGGAGGTCGCGATGGACGAGAAGAACGACGAGATCCTGGTGCATATGATCTGGTCCGCCAAAGCGTTTATGCACGTCAATCGAGATCGAGTGAAGGAACTGGCAGCCATCGTCAATCGTAGCTCGCACCAGGCGATATAATAAGCACGACAATTTTCTGCTAAAGTTCACCGCTATTCGACCAATGTGATATTAGACTTGACATTAGATTTGTTAGATTTGTTATTTAGATTTGTCCCGTTGATCTTCTTTTTTCTTTTCTTTGTAATGTATATAATAGGCAACTGGTTTGTGATATTCGTGTGCACCGTACTCGTTCAACAGGGAACAAAGTCTCGTCCTAGTCTATTAAGAATTTCTCGTGACAAAGTGATTATTGATATTATATTGCGTTCAGCTTTTTCTTTCTTACTTTTTGTTATGATTTCTGAACTTGGTGGTAGAACGGTGTGTGAACATTAATGTCGAGTTCAAAGTGTCTAGATATATAATTTATTAATATATATACATACACACACACATATATATATATATATATATATATATATATATATATATATATATATATATATATCGTTATAGCGTTTACAATAAATTAAAAAAAAAAAGAAAGAAAGGAAAAAACGAAATAGCGAGAGTGATGGGAGAGAATATTTACCACAAAAAGCGTATGTCGGATAATATGCTCTTTACTTGAAGCCTAAACGATCTGTCGTCGAGTATCACCCACTATCGCTCGAGTTATTATACGGACTTGAGTAAACCGTCGCGACGAGGAGTCGCGTTCCGAGTCGTGTGCGACTTATCGAGGCCCCATGTAGTACGGCGGTTGCGCCATCGACGCGGATATGTAGGGATAAAAGGAGTGCGACGAGACGCTTTGCGCCTGATAGTCATTCTCCTCGTGTACGGCGTATCCCTCGGCTGCCGGGTAATACTGGCCGTGCACGCAAGCATACGGCGCTTTGGTAACGGCGCCGCTCATCTCCGCGGAGTATCCCTTGCTTTCCGGATACTTTGGTAATTCGTAGCTCTTGGACTGCAGTTCCGGATACTTGGTGGTACCACCGGCGGTCATCTCGTGGTATTTACTACTAGCCACCTCGTGATGGTACTTGGCCTCGGCGTAGCTCTTCGCGTCGTACCCCTTGTTGGGATGATCGACTGGATATTTGGCTGCCTCGTTCACCCAGATACCTGGCCGGGCCAGGTGGTCGTAGGTGGACTTGGGCTCGTAAGCCGCTCGCTCGTACGCCTTCACACCGGCATCCGGATACAGGCGGGCGTAGCTCGTGCAGTCTGACCCGGTTGAGTCGAGAGAGGTGCCCGGCGAAGGTAGCCCGCCTCTGTGCACGATTATGCCCATTTGATCATCCGACTTGGGCTTCCTTCGACGCGGTTGATACTACAAACCAAACACTCGTTAGCGTTTCGAAAACTTTTATCCGTCATGCTGGAAAGGTTTCTCGAATGAGATTCAAAAGAAGGAACCGATTTTTAAGTATTGATCATTTTTCAATAAACAACGCGTTGGCATTTTTGATTCAAACATTGTGCAAGTTAGAATTTTATGGAAAATGACAAATCTTTTTGCACCCATCCAATGGCACGTTTCCTTCGTTTGATTTTTCCTCGCTGTATCTGTTTTCTTTTTTTTTTAACTACTTGGACCCAAATGTCAAAAATAAAATTGAATCGTTCCTTCGAAATCCTCATCATTTTTTATAGTTTTATTCCTAGAAAATGTTCTCAAGATGCCGCGCAGCTATAATTCCGTCGCAACGACGTCCGTGCGTCGCAAAGACGTTCGAAGAGGACAAAGTAATCATGCATCATTAAAAATATGCGGAACGTTTCGCGCGTTGCGAAATCGCGTTGCAAGATCGAGCGATTCGGGATAGCGGAACGAATTAACGCGTGCGTTGGTTGAGAGAGAGAGAGAGAGAGAGAGCGCTCGAGTGGTTAATCGAGGCCCGATCGTGCGATTTAAGCCCCACCGCGCGCGAGGGCTGCCGATGATTTACGAGAAGGGGAAATGAATTCCCCGCGATCAAGCCATCCGTGTCGCCGCTTTACGGGAGCGAGAAAGTCGAGGCGAGGTGGATGCTGCGGAAAAGCGAGAATCGTTACTTCTCAAGAGAGGAGCTCGTTAGTTTTTTATACGCACGCTTTCGTCGCGAGTGTTGGTTGGTTAGTTACCTTGTAGTGCGGATGTTGCTTCTTGTGCGCATTCCGCAGTCTCTCTGCTTCCTCGATAAACGGTTGCTTCTCGCCGTCGCTCAAGATCCTGGTAAATCGCATAAATGTGTGAATAATACGGGATAATACGCTGGGACCATGAGTTTCAGGTAGTGAACCACTCTCGGGACTTTTAATTTCAGTAGACGTTGAAGCGTCTGATTACCTCCACAACTTTCCTAGCGTCTTCGACAGCTCGGCGTTGTGCAATTGCGGATATTGGTCGGCCAATCTTCGCCTCGCCGCTTGCGCCCACACCATGAAGGCATTCATGGGACGTTTCACGTGAGCACTTCTTCGGCCGCCGGCACGCGAAGTCACCGGAAGTAGCGTCCAGTCGTATCCTGCGAATATAACCGACCGAAAGGTGCCTCGATTTCAAAATCGATTCAGAATTATCGTGCGTATGATTATTGTTTTCTCTTTTGCACAGATTTGTACACAACGTTCGAATAAAAAATTCGCGTGTCACGAAGCGTACGCTGCGAACTGACAGCGCAATCATCCGTCCTCGCGAGTGCCGAAAGTAGTCTTGTCGCGGATCGTAAAAGAATAAAACTGTGTCTTCGCTCGAGGCGAATTTATGACGCCACCGGAATTTTTCTCCACCTGTCCGTATTTAACTTTGTCACGAAATTCTAGAAATCGTATGTAGAGGAAAAAGGTCCACTTTGTCACTTTCCTCCCAGTCACCGTTCGCTTATTTCCTCTCGAACGCGAATGATCATCTGGAACACACGGGTTATGTAGATCGGACGAGTTTCCCGAGTGAAAAAAAAACTTTATCTCATTGAGATAATTCGAGAAATAAATCTACGCGTGATACTCCTGCTTGTGATGGTGAAACGCCAAGTGATACTCTGAATCGCCCGAGAACGCTTAATAAGATGTGTTCCTACATTTTACTTCGTGGGAAACACGAGCGTCTCGAGCAAGTTGGGGCCATAAAACTCGCCCTTTTCGAACAAACGTATACCGCCTTATATAAATCTGTCCCACTGCGGTTCCTCCTAAATCTCAATTCCCCGTCTCGAGCGGTCTGTATCGGAGGGAACACGAGGAGAAGGAGAGAGCCCAAAATATAAAGAGGTTGATAGAAAAATTTGGAAATTGCCTAGACTTTTAGGCCACACTCGTGATAAATTTCGTATCTTGTCTAAAGTTTCACTTGTGCGCGGCCAATCCTGCAAGGAAAATGTATACTGCCAAGAGTTACTAATTGATCAGCAGTGGAGACCACGTGGCGTCACCACGCAGAGCTTCGAAGACTGGTGGAAGCTAATTACCATGGGTACACGGTCCAACGGTGCGGCACTTGTGTCGGCGCCTTTAAACGTTCGGGGGAGGTCCTTGGTCGACGCCTGCCGTCGATAGCTGCCGAAATAAATTTTACACGGAAACGCGGAAGGGTTTCTTCCGGAGAACACGACAGGAATAGAGGGAATTTCGCACGAACCAACCGAAAGGACGAGAGGACCCTATGGTGGTCGATGAGGCGTGCAAAAAAGCATCGGTTGGCCCTACAGAAAGACGCGGCCTTCTTTGAAGCCCGATAGTACCAACGATGTCAAATCTTTTAGTTACGAATGTTAAGCATATATATGCAATCTGCGATAACTTGAGAAGAAAAATTCTTCTGCTGCAAAGTGTTTCTAAAGTTGATCAAAATTGACCTTATCTCGGAACAATAATTCTTCTTTACTTATTTTAATTCACTTTATTTTACAGCTGTTTTCGAGCAAAAATTCGACAAGGTAACGTTTGTAGAATCTCAAGCATTTAGTCGCACAAGCAGAAGGTTAGAACGCAAAGTACTCTCTTAAATGGAGTGGAAATAGAAAACAACGTTGTTACATTAATGCCCCTAAAATAATCTCGGAGCAACATTGATAGATAACATATCGTTATCCGAGAGTCGATCGATTTCCTTGGCAGAGACCCGCGATGAAATCGTGAATTTCTGAATTAAAAGAGTCTCGTGCGCCAAGTGGCGCTTAATTTTAGACTCCGTCTCGATTTGACTAATTACGATGACGTAACGAATCGGTGATTCGGCGACAAACCGATGAAACCGAGAAATCGTCTTTTCACTTTTCCAGGATGTAAACGGCTTTTGAGTAGAGATCAGGGCCGCAGTCGACCTACAATAGACGGGTTGTGTATCCTGGTGAATGAACCGGTGTGCTCGGCCATGCCGGCCGTCAATGGTGACCTGTCGTCGACTCTTGCTACATTAACTCCTTTACAAATCCGCCTGTTACAAATCTCCTCTTAACGAGACCCTCTTAAACGCTTCGACACCTCGTCCCGTCGATGTTTGACGTTACACGCTCATCGCCACGTGCTCCACGATTTTCAATTCGCCGGGATGATATTCTCGCGATATAGCACGTTCGATCGCGATGCCCGCGAATATTTCTACAGTAACTCCCATGCACGTTGTATCATTCCCGTCAGTTCATGAAAATATTTCATCCTGTGTTAAGACACACAATTATGTATTATACATGATCTCTGACTAGAGATATTTCAAGATTTCATCTATTTTCAAGTGGATATACATATTAATAGAGATGCGATTAGCGCATCTCAGACGGATCACAAATATTTAAACGCGACACAGAGATGCAGTGTCTCTTCTCAAACTGTGCGATAAACTATTTTGATTATACATTCTCGTGCGTGCCATCGATTTTTCAAATATCGAAAAATGCTTTTCGCACTTTCTATTACATATTTTATATAACGTTGCACTGTGCGACAAAACATTTTTATTTTATCCTAGCCAGCGGGACCGATTCGTAATATTGCAAGCCGTCGGAATTGACAGTTATTAAAATCAAGAAAACATTCTTCCTTTTCGAAAGCAAAAATTGATGTACGAAACTTTGGAAAGAAAAAAAGAAGAACATATAAGTAGATTTGTTAATTATAAAAAGAAATTATTTTTACATCAAAGTATAATTCAACAGGAGGTGTGCTTCGCATTTCTTCCTCGGTTCAGTTTGGTTCAACCGAGCGATATATCCGACTCTTCTCTCTAATCCACCGCATCGACCCATTAATCCTCGTAATTATTCGCGTCGCAATTGTTACCGTGGTCTCCGCGTGGATAAAATTAGGATTTCGCCAAGATATCATATAGTCGGTGATTTCCACCTGCCTGTCGGTTCGTCCGTCCATCTCGTCGACGACGATGACGACGACGACGACGTATCTCTGGCGAAATTTCGCGAATACTAAGTCTCGACGTGCGCCGTAAATCATGTCCGGTCCTGCGCGCGAGATCTTTCAGATTTAATTCGGTACCGCGGCATAATTAGCGGCGGTGGCAGGCGTTCGCCGGTCTCGCTCGGTTCGCAGCACCTGCCGCGCGCGAATCTTCCCCGGAATCGCCTCCTCGTGAGGAACGATCTTCGGCTATATTTCTCCGCCTCATCTCCAACTCTGCCTCCGTGTCTCTCCCTCCTCTACTTTCCTGCTGTCTACCGCTTTCTACTCTCGCGAATATCGTCCGGATAAATCTGCGGGCCGGCCAAATGGAGAAGAGCGGTGTCCGACGACACGGCCTTTCAGCGCCAATTACAGTCTGCCTTCCCTCCGCGAACGACTCGATAAAGACGACGGGAGGAGTCGAGAAAGAAGGAGCGGACGCACCGTACGCGCTATTTCGGGAGATTTTTTTTCGCCGGCGAATATGTCTCTCCAGAGGATTTTGATAAGATTTCAACGATGACTATTATCATGGCGCGCTATATCTTACGATTGATTGATTGATTTTTATATTTTCAAAATAAGCTATTTTACATTTTGCAAGAACACGCAAGACAACTGACGATAAAGTCTTTTCATTAAATCAGTCTCAAATTATATATATATGAATCAAAGTTTGCTCCCTGAGGTATAAATCTTACATTTAAATACCCGCCAAAATTTCAAAGCACAATTTTTTTAAAGCGTGATGTCTGGTAATATGTATAATAATTTATTTTCTGTTCATATTTGCTACCATTTTCTTCAAACTACTCTCATAAGTCGCATCATTGAAAATGTCACTATTTTGAATAGTGAAACAATATTGTACCGATATTTAGTGAATATTCACTAATCTTTAGTGAAAATATTTCCATTTAGCTCTTTTGTCTAATACTTCACTAATTTTGGCCAGTTGAAGAATCATTGTAAATCATTGTTACATGTCCCACAGTAGAAATACATATCGAATATACATTCAATCATACGTCGTAGTTGACGTAATTTGTATGGTAGCAGACTCGAGAGGTTTCGAATCCCATCAGGATATTTTCCAGATATGATATAAATTAAATCAATTAAACATAATTGAAAATATTTCAATCAAATCATTGACAGTACCTTAAGATTAAGATATTAAAAAAAAAAGAAATAATTCAGATATAAATTCATATCTTTTTTTACTGTTTTTTGCAGTTAGATTGCTCCGATAGTTGCTGCTATTAAAAGATTTTTTTTTTGCAAAATTTTACTGATTTGCCATATTTATAATTATGTCCACCAGTGATTGTCTCTCGGTGATAATATACTGACTGGCATTTTGGAGAATAACAATAAATGAAATTGCCGCTTCGCGAGACAAAAAACACATAATTTTTGTGCAACGTTAATATGCACATACATATAGATGTTAATTTTAACGTACATACCGCTTATATTGGAATCGCTTTTTTTTTATTTTATTACTATTTCGTCCATCGTATAAAATTGATGAAAAGATATCCAGAAGAAACATACCTTGCAGTAATTTGCCCACGGCGTCGTCCAGAGAACTGTTGCTGCAATGTTCGTTACTTGATGAACCGGCTTTACCTTCCATCGACGATAAGCCGTTATTATTGTGATGCGTCTCCATTTTGATCTCACTAATAACGATCGGAAAAACTCACACGCGAATCGAACAATATATTTCTCATAGATAACGCGTTTCTTTTGACACAAATATCACTCAAATAATATCAACGAGTGATAAATCCTGACGGAAGATAAAGATCATATTTCTCGACGATTTGTCGCGATCCCCTTTGCAATTCGTGCACGAAAAGAGGGAGAAAGCCGATAATTAATCGAAGGTTATCGGGGTGCAATTTATTAGGTCGTCGAATCTTCTTTACGGCTGACCTCGCGTGACTTTGTCCGCGGAGTATATCGATATTAAGTTGATTCCTACGAACTCGTGGATCACTCGGATTCATTCACTCGGGCGTTATCGACTCGGGGAAAATGTTAGGAGAGAGGAAGCGCGAAGAGATGCGCTGCTTCGGAAGATTTAACAGTCGCTCTCGAGGATATCGCTCTTACGTCCTTCGTTACAAGACGGTTTGATACGCGCTAGTTCGAGGTGCCGGACGGAGATAAGCTTGACCCGGCCAACCTCGACGAGATCTTCGAGAAGATCATCGGGTCATAATTAAAATCTCCCTCGCGGCATCGTCTGATATCCGGGTTTATCGGTCATCGAGCGCGAACAGCTGCATTGTTTTTTATCTGATTTGTTTCGCATCGTCGAGAAAGTCGAGACGAGAGGCAACACGACGCGACACTGGCACTGGCGGATCAGGTAAACTCCGATGGCCGACTGATCGGTTAGGAGGAGAGACGCGACGATGGAACCGCACAGGTTGGTCCACCGACGGGTGGAAGAGGCTGAGGCTAGGAGACGAGCGTGCGTCGTCTTGTCTGGCACGAAACCATCGGCCGGACGGATGGCAGACCATCCGCGGAGGCGGTTCCGTGGACCACCTACCTCTGGTGGGGAGACACGTAGGATCTTCCTCCTTTCTTCTTCTTCTTCTTCCTTGCTTTCTTTTCTCCCCTGCGATCCTGTCTTCCTTGCACAATGGTCTCCCGAATGGAAAACTGCTCAGTGTGCCTTTTTTCCGACTTTCTTGAAAATTTGTCATCAAATGTTCTGCAAAGGATTGAAAACAAAAAGTCGAAAAGATTTAACGAACGACAGATCCTTTGCACTCTCGTTTCATTAGTGTGTGCACGCACGCACCTCAGGTAGTGCCGGCGCGCACAATAAGCACCGTGTGCTCATCCTCCGTGTTTGACTCGGCATTAGCATCCCGCCGTGCGCCGTCTCGAACACAAATGCGTCGTGCGAAACGGCGAGAATCTATTAATTAAGGCTATCTCGCTCGCCGATCGCGCGAGGCGGTAGTCGCGGCCAAATTGCTTCGCAATAGCACGGCTCGCGTGTCGCATTAGCGACATTAGAATTTAACGGATTCGGAGCAATTACCTTAGAGAGATTATTTTCTCGAAACGAAGGAAAGAAGATATCTTTTTTCACCGGCAAGGAAATTCAATGGATGAAAATTCCGCGGAAAACCCTTGCGAGATATTTTCCAAGCGTTTGTTTCTTCGTTGTGATGAGCGGTAGATAATATCGTCTCGCACATTTGCACGGAGACACACGCCCGCTGTCGCGATCGGAATGCGAAAAAGAAGAGAAAAGTGCGCGACAAAATAGAGCAGAGTGATCTTCGAGTGCCCCCAAAGTCGTTCCCTCCTTCTTCGGGCCCGTTCCGGCGAGCCTAATTATACAACGAATTTAATGAATGAGTGAGCTAGCAAATACAGTGGCTCATACATGGGCATATATAAACCACGGTCAATGCCGTGTGGCGGCTTTTGTGAGACATCAAAGAGAGCATCGCACTTTGCAGGATTAACTTTGCTGCCGGCGCAACCAAGTGACCCTCGAACGGTTTCACGGATTCAAGATTTCCCTCTATCCGTTTCGAATCATCCATCCGCAGAGTATTTCAATTCAAATTTATCGAAATTGTCGTTCTTTCATCGAAAACTACGTCTCAAAAGATATTTCGCGTGACGGCTATCTCTCGTCGCTTCTTGTCGAGATACCGTGCAGATTCTCCGAGTGTCTTATGCGCCGCGCGTCGGCAATGCAAATTTAGCCCGACGGGAACAATAATATTGATTTCACGAAACCGGAATTTCGCTCTTCCCGGGATAAACATCCCGGGCGGGCGCACGTGGCGTCAATATGCGCCTTTCATTCTCGGTGTACGTAAGCGAGAATTCGTTTCAGGGACGTTCCGCGCAGCTCTCAGCGTTTTCTCCCGAGGAAACGTAAGTATAAGCGCGCGCACTTGTCTCCGGAGATAAAGAAACTTTTACTTGCAAAGAGTATTTAACGATATTTCGACTTTTTAAGCATTAATAAATATAATAACTTTTCTTGTCGAGAGAGCGCGAAACATGTACAAAAGGTATTTTATCATCAAGTAAAATGAGAGATCAATACAAATATAATGACGAGAGATTTTATAATTAAAAGAGAAAGAGAGATCACCTTGAAAGAGCCGGACGCTAACGAAGGATATCGTGCGCGATAAAATAATAATTCCAGCAATTCCTGGGGGTCGCGGCGGCGTGCCGTCGTCGGGCACTTGAAAGGATCCCGAGACCGAGGGACGGTCAAGCCGGGTACCCGACACATGTAGCCCCCCGGGTGGCGAGCACCGCGACTCGTTCGGACCCCCAACGGAGACGCGGGCTTCGACACATTCTGCGCCGTCATCGTCGGTCCCGGCTACGTCATTGCGTAGTACGTGAGGCCGATAGCTACACGTGTATATGAGAACACGCGTGTCGGCATACGTTTTCTCGAATCGCGATTAAACCGTCGCGCGACCGTGATGTGATAATAACAATTGATATGTCGACTTTTTAATAACTTATTAAAATCAATTAAACAATTGCTTTCGACGATATAATAATTAAACCTTTTCTCCGTTTACACGGAGGCGATAAATGTACTTCTCGGCTTTAGAAAATGTACTACGGGTTTCGAGAAGCCACTATCAATGCATTCCGTAGGTCCGGTGGCTTATGGTGTATGACTTACATATCAAGGGTGCGAGGTTACAAACCAACGAGAGGTGGGGTATAACGAATCAGATAAACCGCTTTGGGGAGTAAAGAGAGACGTGCGTTTTGCATTTACCGACGGTACTTGGAGCGCGGTTTCGTTTTTCTTATCTACGGATCTTTCTCGTCATAGCGGTTATGCTTAATTTTCATTGTGAAACCAAGTTGATTTCTATTGCTTTCTAATTAATTCGCTCTGGCTTCCCGGGCTGAAGCTTACGAAATCGTTAATTACAGCCGACTTGATTAATGACTCGCGCTGCGTTCCAGAGACAGTTGCTTCAGCATACCTACTCGCACACGTTAAGATTTATGCGCGTTCGTATATATGCAGATGCGAGTTTAACATGCAATTGACAAATCTAAAGGCATCACCCTCGTACTCTCTTCCAAGAAGTAATAAAGAAAATTTTCCTTTAAAATTTTACGCAAGAGATATCATAATTTGTACGCATAAAGTGCTTCCGCGAATAATAAAATTAAGCACTGTTTTAAATAACTAGCGAAAAATAATCGTCTCTTCATTTTTCACCGACGAAGCTCTGGCAGCATTCGTATATCGCTACGGTAAAATAGGTGGCCACGAAGAAGATCGAGCTGCACTCTCTGATCCAACAATTATACATTCAAAGTGAAACTATCTTCGCAGATTTAAAAGCTGATCTATTTTTCGGCTATTCGGAGGAGATAAGTACGAATAAATATTTACTGAAATAAAAAGCTGAGAATGACGAATAATTTCGCAGTAAACACATTATATCGATGTTACAACTCAACAATGTAAATGCAATATAACGTGTGCGATATACATACATCGTTGAGTGAGAAATTGTTGTAACGTTGATTGGGTGTTTATTGGCTCCATTAAAGGTTTTCCTAGTCATAAAGCTTATAGATTCATCAATAATCGAACTTAATACTCCGTAACGCATGCACTTGATTTCTTTCATATCCCTTCGATATCCTTTTCAACGAGCCCAGTACAAAGGTGGAATAAGTCCAGAATTTGCGCAGATCTTTCCCAAATGATGAACTTATCGACACCGAACCTTCGTCGAACGATCGCGCAAATGTCCGGTCGCTGCGCAGGCCGGTCGACGAGTGCACAACCATGGGTGCAACCGGTCTTGACGCAGCGTCCGTATTCTCCTCCTCTTGACGTCATAATTGCAGCCGACCAATCGACGAAACTGCGTAGGAGGAATAGAGATCGAAAGGGAGAAAGAGAGGATAGGAACGGCCAAGAGCTACACGTGGGAGACGAGCTCTCGGTCGACGGAGAGAGAAACGAGAGATGATAGGTGGAGCAAGCGGGAACCCGATTGGTTCCCCTCATCCTGAGGATATATCGTAGCCATGGAAACTTTCTTGTCGGTAAAGAGCGGCGAGAGCACCTAAATATATAAATGGAATGACCGGTGGTGGGAGGAGACAGGGAGGTGGGGGAGGATAATCTCTCGGCGAACGATGCGTTATTGTGATCCCACAGTCGCCAAGACACCGTGGGTGCACCATCCCTTCAGTCAATACTGTTTACCAATTGGTTAACTACCCTATTTGTAAAGTTTCAAACAGATGTTTGGGATAACGGCGGCGTTAAGACCACCGTAGTCTTATCGCGATGAAAATCGATCGAACAAAACGTATTATTTGAAATGATCTTACGATTAATGCCTTGTTATTCGATCGAGTATCGTCGTTATGATATTTGTCGAACGGCACGAAATGTGCGACCTCGTGGGTGCGCCGCCTTATTTGGCCGCGTTTACCAGAGTCTGCGAGGGACCACGACGACCGTCAGAGATACGGCGAACTCTCCTCCTCGTCTCGCCTTCCACCGTCTCCCTCCCGAGACGTGGAGCAACAAGTGTTACCAGCTCTGCCTTTGCCCCGCCCTCAATCGAGCCAAAGACGCGGGGTACCTCGTGGTGGAAAGTGCCCCGAGGCGATACAACCACCTCACTCGAGCGCCGATCGCGCAACGAGCCACGAATCTTTGAAACTCGGCGCGAGTTTGCCGCGCGAACGTAAACTCTCGGTCGGTTCAGCCTTTACGTGGATGGTATTTTCGCGAGACATCATGATATACCATCCTCCGGCTTGCGGTGGCACACGTGAATTGTGAAAGATATGTAACTCCGGCGCGATTAGTTTCGATATCCAGCCGGAGTGGCCGGTCAACGAACGCTCCGGAAGCAAATGGATCTATACATCTGAATGGCAATAAAGCCTCTCGTGCGTGAAAGACCGGATGTTGTCAAGATCGACCGAACGTTTGAATCTACCGAGAGAGAGAGAGAGACTCGAAGGAGGATCACTCGATAAAAGACATACCGGTAACGGTAGTAACGCGTTTGAAAATAGTGGCATTCGTCGAAGAGGATCATGCGTAATAGGTCATCTGCTGGGAAGAGAATAAGCGACGAGAGCAGAAAGGCGAGAATCGCGCGTGATACGACAGCGAGCGAAATTAATTAAACGGTAAAATTCGAGCACCTCTTATCACGTCGCGTGAAAAATCGCGAGTGACAGCGATGACAAAGTGACAACAAAGTGTCGAATCTTTCTCTTGTTGACGGAAGAACGCGCAAGAAGGGGATGAAGATGAACGACGTCACTCCGGAGAGCTCTGGCACGTCGGGCGGAAATAACAATAGCATCAATGGAAATGGCAAAGCGTCGGCTGCCGTGACAGCCAATGGCGGCGAGGGGATCAGCGCAGCCGTCGCTAAGGTTCTTCAGGGTTACGACTGGACCCTGGTACCCGTCGCCACCAAGTAAGTATTCGGAGAGAAATGCATCTTGTCCTCGGACAGTTTGTTTGAATTCTGTTCGGTAATCGCGGAAAGAAATGAGGAACCATCACGAATTGATCGGTACGTTCGCGTAAAAAGTGATTTCATTGTATGAAGGAATAAAGTAGTCTAATGATATTGATCTGAAAAATAGGGAAAAATTGATGTTATTTCAATCAATATTCTGTTCTCAATCCTCGGCGATTTTAACGGCCGCGAGTCGTATCGTACAAGCCTCGCGGGCTTAACACGCGTACGTGTTCAGAAAAGAAAAAAGAAGAAAAAAAACGTAAAGGAAGGAGGAGGGAAACGACGAAGACGCGGAGTCGGAGGGAAGGAGAGGGCGAGAAAACGTGGCGCGGTCTTAAAAATACGTAACGCTAACTCAATTATGACGCACTCGTTTCCTCGGCCTGGGAAACGCGACTCGCGGAAAAATGTCCTCGGTCGCCAATTAACGCAAATTGGCTAATTAATGCCCGATCGCCGCGTTACGCTCGAACGTCGTGCTGCTCCATTCGTGGATCGTGGGAAGCGAGACGACCTTAAAATAGCCGGGAAGGAAGGAAAAAACCCGGCTTCTTTCTATAATCGCGAAAAGGAGCGGGTTGTCCTCTTCGTCATGCTGTGCGATCGGAAAGAAAAAAAAGAAAATTATTAGATCGCGGCGAACTCGATAAAATCGAGCGCGACCTCGATTCGCGGAAAATTGTGCAACGCTCCGAAGATCTGCGACGGCTCGCTGCGATTTTAATTTCCGCGACGGGATATTTCTTTCTGCGCTCTTCTTTGCACATAGCAGAGGAAAATTTATCGGGAGGTTGAAATGCCCGCTCATCAACGTGATGTTTCACGTTAACGCGAATCAGATAACACACAAATTAGCGATATTTCATCGTAATTTCACTTGTCGTGTTTATTCATTCGATTCGTCGCTGACAATTTCATCATGCGGCCTCGGTGGATGCGTGGCAAGAATTTCCGGGAGAAGCCGATAAGACGTCGGAAGAGTTGAAGGAAACGACGATTGTGCTAGGTACATGCGCGGTCAGATGAGAGAGAGCGACGGAAATCACGTATCGTTACGCGCTTATCGCTAACCCTCAATTACGGGGTTATCTCGGGGTGGCTGCAGGGTGTGGTGTTTATTCCCGGCGAGATAAAATCGGCCGTTTTTTTCTTTAATTCCCATGAAGTCCACCGCGTCGCCACGGTGCGACTATTAATTTGCCGGCGATAAAAAAGAGAGAAAGAGAAACGTCCGAGAAAATAGTTTCGAGGGAAAAATATATTCGCGGATAAAGGGAGTACATCTAGATTCTTTGACGCAACACCGACTTTTCCCTCTGTTGCACTTTACACACCACGCCTATACTCATCGTATGGGAGACGTGTTTTTTGCCTGTATTGAGGTAAAGCGCGCGTCGTGACGCGTCGCCACGGAGGAGCGCCGTGAAAACCCTCGTTAGTGGGCCCACGCTAATTACCAACGGCTCCGCGGGTTTACACACGGATTTAACGCCCCTCTCATTTCAAAGAGGCCGAAATATACGGGACCGCTTTCGAATCCTTGAGACGGTGGAGCTCCTTTTCACCCGCGTTACGCGCGCGTTATCCCCGTGTAATCTCAGGGCCGATCGAACCTATATAGATCCTGTTGCTACCGAGTTATCTCCAAACGAGAGCTCTCAACAATTTTCAATGAAAAATTATCTCGCGTGCCGTATGGGCGCTCTTGAACGCGGTCGCGCGCAGAGTCCTTAAAGAATCCTCGATTAAAGGTAAAAAGAAAAACAGGGAGGGCGGCAATCACGTCAGTCACGTCGATCCCCGGGCTAGACGGGGCAAAAGTTTTATGAAGTCATCTTCTCGGAAAGAAAGGGATACGTCCATTCCTACCCGTCACACGTCGGCAGCCACGGTGTTATTTTAAGGCCGGTTTTAAACGCACGGGATGACCCGGGGGGTAGCAAAACCCGGGTATATGTGTGCATGTATATACGTGCCCATCGCCTCTGGTTATTTTCTTCTGCAAGTCACCAGATTATCCGTCGACGAGAGAGAGAGGGAGCTGTCAAAATCCGCTCCGCTCTTATATATTTTTACCGAGTGAGATCCTGTCGTTGTGCATACACGATGGAAAATGCGTTGAAAATTTCACGAGATGATCGCGTAAATGTGTAGAGAGATATCGTTTCCAATGAAGATAATGTCTTCGAATTGCAGGGGTTCCGGCGACAAAAGAGCGGCCCATGTCAAGAGGCCCATGAACGCGTTTATGGTGTGGGCCCAAGCTGCGAGGCGAAAACTGGCTGATCAGTATCCTCAGCTTCACAATGCCGAGCTGTCGAAAACGCTAGGAAAACTATGGCGGCAAGTACTTTCTTCTCCTTTGTCGCGTCAATGGTAGTATATGGCTTGACGAGTTATCCCATTTTGACGAAATATATACTTTCACGTTAGTAAATCGGAGAAAATGCTAAGACAAAGTAGCGATATTACGTAGTCATGTGCAACCGACGCGAGTAACGTTCGGGCGGAAAGACACTGTTCCGATAAAATTAATCGGCACCACGTGTCGGATGCCTCTCCGCTCCCGATCTGATAAACCCGATTCACACAGGCGAGCTCGCCGCCAGGCGGCGGCCAGCCATGTGAAAGAATCGCGCTCGCTGATCTTTGCATTCGGAGAAAATCGCGCGAGTCTCTAAAAAATCGGTTGATCGTTTCAGCTGCCGTTGATTCGACGCCACCTGTGGTGCTTATCGTTGATCCAACGTCGCTCGCGCCCACTGAACTCGCTCGTTCGAGTGCAATTTTCGTCGAGAGACTGGCACAATTACAGACGTAACGATTAATTTCTAAACGTCGACTGAGAAAAAAGGGAAGAAAAAAGGGAAGAAGTGCTAGTCGAAGAGTTTCCGTTCTCGCGGCCACTTGTTCGTACGTGATCTATTTTTACGCCCGAATTCGCGAATATTCCTAGTTTTTCTTTTACTCGTAGAAGCAGCGGCATGTACGTACCACGTGGCGCCTAAGCTGCACGTGGTACAAGTGTTCCTGCTTCTCGAGACCCGTGAACTCGGGTCGCGCATGTGTAACGGGGAGCACACGTTGCGTGACGTCGGCACTCTTTTATAACCAGTTACAATTCGTGACAACTTCCCATACGTGCGCGGATTTTTTTCATTTACGTCCTAGGACTTATTCAGTTAAATTGACAATATATTAGCCGAATAAACTTTACTTTACTTTAAAGTTAAAGGCTCGTATGAAATCGGAAGGATATTGAAACATATATAATTAGTATTGCACAAGATAACTCGAATAAAAAGCACGCGACACATCCGCAGGCTTCAGAATGACTCGTAGACGATTCCGCTTCCTGGTTGGGACTAACGAGGTGCCCCAGTGGGCCATATAAACGATCATCAGAGGACGCGCCGACAAGGAACCCCGTCGCGAATCATTTAATAATACTCCGGCCCGATCGTTAAAGATCGATATCCGTACGATTGTCACGGAGGAGCTTTTGCCGAAAAATAACAATGACAAAAAAACTGTCGAGCACTAAAAGTCGATTTTTCCTAACGTGTAGCGAGAATTATAGCTAACAGAGAGTTCGTGAATACACGCGCATCGACGGAGTCAAATGTTGATTATTTTCATTCGAGCCATCTACTATCGAATATAATCAGATGCGGAAGAAAGTTTCGCAAATATTTTGGTTCACCTCAAAATACCTAATGGCATTCGATCGATATTCGTTAACTTCCTCGTATTTCTTTTTCTTTTGGCTGATTGATCATTTTAACAAATTATTGCGCTCATTCGACCGAACATTCTTCTCGATGATCCGGTCTCATCTGTAACTACGTTAAATTCCTCGGTAACTTCATCGGAAAACACCCTGTTCCATAAACGTCTCTCGTAGGCTTGCTGAGCGAGAAATCTCCATCGTACCGATACCAATTTTTAGCCAATCGGCTGAAACAATGTTAAAATGTTGAACGACGTAATTCGTTCGCGGCGAGATAAAACTAAGCTGTTTCGCCAATGAAAAGCGCACCCAATGCAAGAAAATGGCGGACTTGAAGGTGCAAATATTCGATTGGTCTGGACGCCAAGCAATCACGAGCGTCGCGTAAAACATTGGCCGAATTGTCGACCACACGCGCTCGGTCTCGACTTTTTCCTAAAGTACGTGCAATCGAGAAGGCTTTTATTCGTGTATTGTTGCGCACATGAAAGATGCGAAAGGAAATCGTGCGGTTATCATGTACGCGATGCAGACGATGTTCTTTCGAATGATATCGATTATTCCGATATATTTAAAAAGGCTCAAAATTAGCTTCGACGAACGTTTGCGATGCAAAGTATTAAGAAGAGATGTAAACGAGTATAAACAATATTCGAGAGTAACATTAAGTTTTAAATATCTTCTACCTTGACTTTTTAATAAACTATGTCGAAGACTTTTGTTGAGTAAATTGAGCGTTAAATTCACACCGATTATTCTGATCTCGTTAGAATAATTCTTTGAGATTTTCTCTAAGAGAAATCAACGTCAATTAATGTATGTGATAATTAATTAGTCGAAGGAATATGTATAATCCTGATTGTTTCGGAAGAAAGGGCCTTGAGACAGGATTCGTTGACCTGCGCGTTTCGGCTCTTAAAAAGTAATTATTTAGCACCTTTTGGTATGGACCTAGTACCACTTAACACTCTGGTCCGAGAACGCGAGAGATATTTTCGTGCCAAGGCTCCTCATGTACGCGCGAATGAACTAGCCAAATCGAATCTCTACGATCGCGCGTAAACAAATGTATTTGCACGATTAATCGGCGGTGATCGAGATGTCTGTGCCGCCGCTTCGACGGCAGGGGATATCCGAACGATACAGTCATCTTTGGTAATGAACACAGTACTAGAGCGATTGCTACACGGATGGACTCGCTCTGCGAACCGATGAGGCTGATAAGACGCCACGTTCGACGGTGATTGCGAAGATTGGTTTACGATCGGTTTAGCGACAAGTTGATATGAAGCAGATCTCCTTACGAATAAATCACGATTATCTCGCGGTGCTTTGTAACAAGAAGAAGAATGTATTTTTCATTTATATCACGGGTGATCGCGACATAATTGTGATAACGTCGATTCGCGAAGTTTTACATAATTTGCATAAGCATTGGAATGGGACGTAAAAAAAGCGACGCGACGGAACAAGATGGGTCCTTCGACTTTCGCCGGTCGAAGAATTTTAATCGACCATCGTCGTTGGCCGCGACTCCTTACGGACCCTGGCGTCAATCCTGATAAGAGGCCAGGTGTGTAGTCCCTGGAAATAAATCTTTTTCTCGCGCTTTCTCTCTCTCTTTTTCCTCGCTTCGTCTCGAAACGTATCGCCATTCGGTGGATACCAAACGTTACGTGTTTGTCGACAAAAAGAAAACAGATATCCCCCGGTTCATCCTTGGCGCGTGCTCGCAGCTGCCGGCCGGTTCCTGCCGGATAGATAAAGGGCCCCCGGGGGACCACAATAAGCGCCTTGTGCCCGTCAGGTGAATTGTTCCGAACCTGCCCTTCCGCTCCCCGAGCCTTCTCTCGCAAATAGCGCGTGACGAGAACAGGTAAATCCGTCTTATCTCCCGGAAGAAACGATTCCTCCGTACGACCGGCTTTCCTACGATTCGGGAGTCTTTCCGAGGAACGTGGTAGCAACACTATCGAGCGAAAATGCAAATTACCGTTTCGGATGACTGAAACCTTCCATCTATGGTTAATTCTTACTTATGGATATATATTATCTCTGAATTTCGCGTTGTAAATATAATAGAAGGAACGAATTTTATTAATATTTCAAAGTACGTATGTTTTATGCGCAGTGTAAAGTGCATAATCGTTGTTTCGACAGTTTAATTAAAAGTTTTAGGAAAGATTCGAAACGGTGATTTGTCGATCCGCCGCCAAATATTACTCAAAAGTGATGATTTAATCGGAATACTCCGGAAAAGAAAGATTCTTCGAGATCGAATCGCGCCGACCATATCGAAATGTCGTGGACCCCTACGGAAGAAAATTTGAGTAGTAACCTCGTAGGCGACAGGCAGACCGACCCTGCGTTGCATCTGGCGAGGAAAAAGGGTGGCTGAGTCTCTCGCCTATCGTCGGCATTCACCGGTGAAAAAAGCTCGTGGCAGAGCCCATTGACCAGATGGGTTTTCTCTTTCTCTCTGCCTGTCGTTCCCTTTCTCTTTCTGTCAGTGACAAAACGTCATCGGTTAAGCTCGAGATACTTCAACGTGTGTGTCAAAACGTTCGAGTGCTCGGTTCCCTGTCGTGGGATTTAAATGCCGAGTTTGCGAATATACTTCGGTTATGCCGGTGTATTGTGATGGTACGGGAGCATCTTTAAATAACAATTGTTACTGACAACAATTTTTTTTTTCACACTTGACGCTGATAGATAATCGGCTACATTGCAAAGGCTACATTGAAAAGAGTCTTATTAAAAAGTTATTAAAGAGCAATTTTGATAGCTAAAAGATAAGATTTACACATGAACAAGAAGACGTCATGTTATCTCTCTTGAAAAGGGGAAAAAAAGTAAAACGACACATCTTTAAGAGTGAGGAATATGAATGTTGCATAAAAATCACTGATATGACGGAAATCCTCGAGATCTCTCTCGGACGCGCTATTACACCGGAAAACCTTATCAGCAGCAGTTTACGAGCCCAGTGGGAATATAAACATAGAGCATTAAGGACTATAATGCACCGAGTCGTGTCCGCTTCGATGGACGTGCGCGCCTTCGGGACTTAACGCGTCCAGAAACACTAACCAGACCTCCCATTTCGACTTCTCGAGAGAGACCGATGGAAACTGCGCTCGAGACTCTTCTGATGCCGAGTAGCGGGACCGGCGCATGTCCAAGTGCACGCGAGAGAAACGTGAATCAAGCTGAGACGACGACAGATTTTACGACTTCGTGAAAATTGCCCCACGGATTTATCGGGACACGTTCCCTTACAGAGTGACGCTTCGAGTTTCAAGTAGGGTTCGGCCTAATCGCAGCAGGTTCACATTATCTCGTTCACATATTACCTGACTCTGTATTCTTCGAGTCTCTCTCTCTCTCTCTCTCTCTCTCTCTATCAATTCTACGAATTGACTAAGTTTGGTGCAATTTTTCAGTCAACTTTCTTTCAACCCCGATAAATTTAATGAGATGCATTTCTTTTTTCCCCAACTATTTCGGTCAGTTTGGACGCGAAGAAATGTGTCGCTCGGAAAATCTTACGCGGTTGAGCATATGGTATGTTCCTGATACAAAAATCCAAAATTCCCGAAATTCTACCTCAGAAATCGTAGATTTGTCTTAGCAGAACATAACGATCGAGAAAGTGACACGACTTTACTCCTGCTACCTTTTCAGTTATTATATGTTCCTGATACAAAAATCCAAAATTCCCGAAGTTCTGCCTCAAAAATCGTAGATTTGTCTTAGGAGAACATAACGATGGAGAAAATGATACGACTTTACTCCTGCTACCTCTTCAGTTATTATATGTCCCTGATACAAAAGTTCAAAATTCCGGAAATTCTACCTCAGAAATCGCAGATTTGTCTTAGAACATAACGATCGAGAAAGTGACACGACTTTAATCCTGCTACGTCTTCAGTAGTGAGAGATCGTTCGACGAAAAATTCGAAAGGGCTTTCGATGTAATTAAGTAATGAGTTTTGATTACGCGACCGATTGCAGGCTCCTTTCTGACAACGATAAGAAACCCTTCATCGAGGAGGCCGATCGGCTGCGCGTGATCCACAAACGCGAGCATCCCGACTACAAGTACCAGCCCCGACGTCGGAAACAGAACGGACCTTCCGGTCGCGAGAGCTCGCCCTCGCGAAATCAGAGTAACGTGACGTTCAGCGTGTCCAGATCGTTGAAGCAGGAGGACATGAGTCCCAGGGGCGTTCAAGGGCCTAATTCACCGCAAAGCGGCGTGAGCTCTTCGCCACCCACGACACCCAGTCAGGGTCTTTCACCGCCGACCCCACCTACGACTCCGAGAGGACAACACTACGTCAATCAGGTATCACGTGTGTCCTTCGCGTTTAATAAAGCAACTAGAGAGGGAGAAATTTTTTATCGACTCGACGATAAATTCGATCGTTTACGTCCCTCTTAATCTTATATTGGCTAATTATCGCGACGTCGCGCGAGATGAAAATACTTGATGCGCAGAACAATCAGCTTCAGCAGAACAACACCGTATACTATCAGGAGTTGGTGAGCACGCCGTCGAGCGAGTCGCCGCATCAGCCGGCCGTCGATCTTCGATACATCGAGGTCGGAGACGGTCTGCCCGGCGAAGAAAACGGTCTCGGCACGTTGGGCGGGCTCGGTCTGAATCTCCCGGTGAATTTTCAGGAGTGCGAGCAGGTTGAGAGCAACGAACTCGACCAGTATCTACCACCCCAAACCGCACCGATACATCAGTATCCACCCGTGCAAGTCACCACCGCTTCGCAATGGTTACTCAACAGGTGAGACCATTTCATTTCGGAAGAGATGAGAGAAAAGAAGGGAATAACGCGAGACTGCTATGATAAAAAGAGTTCGTCCACGAATATTCTGCGTTTCACTCGCGATTTACGGGATGCCGGGGCACATCTCCGTTTACAGATACGAGGAAGAGATCGAGAGACCGATCAAGCGCCACTGTTCGGAACAAGCGGTCGCGGAGGTGTCCTGGGACGACAGGACACAGGAGATGGTGAGGTATCACGAACTACAGCCGCCTCTTCCGCCAGTCCAGTATATATCCGCCGCTCATAATGCGCATCATTCGACCACGCAGATGGCACATTCGCACGTGTCCGCACCCTACGCGCAGTATCATCGCTACGTACCTGGCATCGAGACGTGGCCGAATTATATGTAGACCGATGAGGTAAACAACGACGGCTCGTTATTTTATCGGACTTGTCGACGCATCTCTTAGATCCGAGGTCGAGAAATGAATGAATGCCAAATTCGCTAAAAATCCAAATCCAGCGTTATCAGCGCTGCGAATTTAGAGAGAGAGAGAGAGAGAGGAGAGTATCAATATATATATATATATATGACACTTTGTAAGCGTTACAGAGTCGTTTTTCTGGAAATTTGCGACCAAAGCTAGAATCTTATCGCTCCAATTCCGCGTAACGAGTATCATGACGATTACACGCGAACTCGTATGAATCGTTCTCAAAAGTAATTAAAAGAAGCCAAATAAGAAGGAGTCTGTCGCGTCTAATTCGCGCATTTTAAACAACGAAGAGTATGTAAAAGAGCATAATATAACATTTATATATTATTGTGAATATATATTCCGGAAATATGAACAAAATTCGTGACAAATGTCTTTCCTCGCCCGACTTGATCGAGGAAAGTGAAGGGTCGGTCGCACACTGGTCCGCACAAATCAACTACGAGAGACTCTCGAATCTTTAGTAGAGCCAATTTTGTTTACCGATTTATAAATACCGGTCTTTTTCTTCCGTACAAGCTATCAGTCGAATTATAAAGTTGAGCGAAATCTTCAAATTCTCTGCGCATTTTTCATCAACAAGTGCTAAATTGATATAAATGGTTTATCGTGGTATTTATCAAGACGTCACTCTTGAACGTTTAATCGCTTTTGAAATGAATGCGTTATGGAAATCGACCGGGAGCGAATTGGCCATTCTCCGGCTTGAGAGTCTCTACTATGTGGACGAGGCGCGGCCGCTGCTACTCACCATGACATCATTCCATGACAGCCGGCCATTCCAAAGCGCAGAATTTCAGGCCAAACAAACAGGCCGCTCGATATACACGCGGTGCCCCGACGCGTTCCGAATGTAATAATATATATATATATATATATATATGTACGTGCGAGACGCGCGCGAGACGTTTGAGACGCGCGAACGCTATAAACCGTCGATCGGTCGGTTCGCAGCGGGCACGCTCACGCACGTCTCGTTCAAATAAACCGCTGAAACACGATCGAGGGTGGCAACAAATGTGCCTGGCGATTTGCGAGTTCGAAGTATTTCGGGCGTTGTGTCGTTGAAATCTTGGCGACGATCGCGCCCCGGGAGAAAAAGATTGGATGAAATTGCCGTTTTCCGTTTACGAGAATTGATCGAATCGGGGACAATCGGTGTATCGAAGACCACAAATCAGCCTGACATCGAGCGTTCGGTAATGTACACGAGCTTACAGATAGATCCATATTAAAATACGTAGATCGCGTATATTATACATTATTAACACTTAATAGTTGTTATGCCAACAAGCAGAGAGAGAGAGAGAGAGAGAGCGAGCTGCGCTTTTGTACTTAGATATTTATTCACCACGTTACGAAGAATCGATAGATTAACGTTTCGACGTAGTCTTGCACGTTCAAAGGCGAGCATTAAGCTGTAATTTATAAGTGCGATATATGTTAATTTGTAGTAATAAAGCAACAAGAGACTATAATCGACGTATTTAACTCTCTCCACTCCCAACTTCCCGGATATTATAAATATTTCTTCTGCATTTATACGTGTAATTGTTTGTTCGTACGTTGAAAATTTGTCTGATATCTGTGCCATCACAGAAAACAGAAACGATTCGCGACAGAACTCCGAGATCAAAATTTTCTACGAGGGAAAGGGTTGATTTCCCGAAGCTAGCCAAGTTCCCAGGCAAAAAGGTCGATGTCGCGCTCTCTTATCGTTTTCTTAGGTGATATTTGCAACGACGTAGCTAAGCGAAATAGCACGCGGACTAGGTCACACGTAACAACGCGCCTCAAATATTTGTTTAGCCCTTTACTTCCCTCTTTTAACGACCCGAAAAGTGCGAATGGACCATTCTCTCTCTGGGTCGCCGTTGAGCAAACAAGGCTTATCGAAATCCGTTCAGCGTGGAACGTGGGAATGTCGCGACTTTTATGCCACTTATCCGTGCTCGAGAGATTAAAAGGAGAGGAGGCGTGCGTGTAAACGCCGCTGCTGGGCGCGCGCGTATATTTTTGACACGTTTGAGTCGGCGGATATTCGCTGCTGTACTTAGATTTCATTCTTTTTTTGTATTTCACGAGTTTGGGATTCATTTGTAAACTTCGTGTGCATTGTACGCATGTTCCTTTCCTATAATTAATATTTTCCACGTAAAATAAATGTTCTTCTTTGGCGGCAATACGCGCGACGGATAATTCCATGTTATTACATGTAGATTCACTTCGATTCAATGGTATAAAATTACCGAGTCAATTTTCGGCCGCGATAAATACAACACTCGAGTGATAAAAATAACTCGCAGTCGCGTCGTTCACGATGAGTTTCTGTTAGAGCCGGCTGACTTTTTTCCTCTTCGTCGTCAGAGAAACGGACCAAATTGACGAGAGTCAGTTCTCTTCCATCTCGTCGTACGATTTTTTCTCCGTATCGTTGTCAGTCAGCGTGATTTCGATAAAGCGGCACGAGTGACAAAATAATAATCCACGGAATAATCAAGCTACGAAAATTGACCCCGGCACGATAGGATTCCGTGAAAAGGACGATGTGAAGCGCCCGAGAAACAATCGTGACGCAAACGCAACAATACCGTCCATTGAAGCTGACCGGTGGGTGTCGGAAAGAGCCGCTATTTACGTTTTATCTATTTTAATTTCCTCGCTTTATTCGATTTATTGGGAGGCAAAATGAACGACTTCCGGGTGCTTCCTGGAGGTCTTGGAAGTATCCTCGTTAATTTTTCCCGGTTTAGATTGCGGCGATAGTCTTGAAAAAGAAAAAGAAAAGACACGAAAGTTGACAGAAATATGAAAATAATTTGACACGAAACGTACAAGCGGTCGATTCTTTGACGTATCGAAACTCTAAGAGCGATCTCATTTCATTCCTTTGGTACGCGAAAATGTCAAGATGAGCGTTTTTTTCCTAATTAAATATATCCAACAAAGTATTGTTAGTACGTGTGCTCCTCCCGAATAAAGGACATTCCCCTTCTGCGAGAGTACGACCTCGGGCAGAGTGCGTTGACATTTCGTACGATGAACAAATGTTTGAGCAGGCTCGATGGTATCGATAAAATTTTCGACAGTTCGGCCATTCAGCGCACCGGAGAATAAAGAGTTGTAAAGCTTTACAGCTGTTCAGAGATTGCGCGGCGGCTACATGTTATCGCCTTACTATCCATTCATCGAAATCTTTCCTCGTGGCACGCGAGGACTGTTGTGATTACAGCGAGGAAGCTTTCGGTCCCAACCAACTGCGAAACCTTTGATTTCGTGCCGATATTTCTCTCTAAGACTTGAGCGAGAGATTTATGAGAGAGAACCACGATTGTGTACATATGATAGATAAGAAAGAGAGGAGCGCGATTATAGCTCTAATTAGCGGGCCATTTAAAAGATCATTTCGGATTGCTGCACCGATTCGCCGAAATTGAATTCGCCCGTACGACGCGTCGTTTCTAGATCGCTGAAAACGCGACACCTCTTTCCTGGGCCCAGCCGGAAGCCAATCTAATCGGCCGTTCTTTCGGTACACACTAAGCGGGATCACCACGTGTGAAACTAGACGAGACCGCATACCCATAGAGGTGGACGCGGACGGTTAATAGCAAGTCAAATACGAGTAGCGGTTTATCGTGACGTTACCATGGTAATTACGCGATAGATATCGATAAACCGCGCACCTAGGTACATAATACAAGTTTACCCCGATAAGGACCAAAGGGGTGCGCGCACAGGAATTTTAATCTCGTGGAAAACGGACTTTCTAGATATGTGATACGTGTATATACGCGACTGAACGGAGCTTTCGTACGTATTAATACTTTCATGGGGTGTTTCGCGAATTTATTCATTGATTAATATATATCCATCCGGCACTCTCGTTTCGACGAAATTCTATAACTTTTTCGTCCCTTGGCGGCCGCCTTTTCTCCCCTCGGAGTGACGTCCGAGGCACGTCTTAATTGCCAGCGGCGAGTAAAGATAATTGGCATTTGGCAGCGAGTGATCCGCGATACGCGGCGGTAGCTTCTCGGAAAGAAGTTTGTCTGTTTGTACGTTTTATAGGTCTTGAATTTACCGCCGCATCGTCCAACGCTGATGGCAGATACGAGAAGACGCCGTCTGGAAACGACGGTCCTCCCTACGCGTCCCGTCTTCTTTTTTCTCCACTTTTCTGTACGGTTTTCTTTACGGTACTTACTTACCAACGTCGATGATGCATTAACGTAATTAATGTAATTGCGCGTTTCACTTGCGAGATAAGAGGATAAGTCCACCGAAAGAGCGCGCGCTTCAGCATCGCGGCTGGAAATTCGTATCCAAGTGAACACATTTGTGGCTTCAGAGTGAATCAATAGTATGTATCGAATTCCCTCCATTAGTCCCTCAAATTTAGCAGAATACATGCGGAATTAACGTAGAAGGAAAATTTTCCATTCGCGTGCCTTCTTATTTGCAAAATTTTCGATCTCTAACGATTCTCAATGTTTCCTCCAGTTGCGGTCAAGTCACTCGCTAGTCTTCTTTTCGAGTGTCTTGGAAAACTAGAGTTTCCCGTCGAAAGGATTACGTTGTGTGCGCTGCTCCGAAAGTTGTTCGGATAGAAAAACGATTAAAGCCGTGCGAGACGTCACCTAAGGTGGAGGATGAAAGAAAGGAACGAGAGGAGAAGCCAGGCCTTCTGCACTGTCTCAAGCGCTCTCCTCGTGAGTGACTCTCGACTGGTATGGCTGACAAGGAGCGAGTATCCACCGTGGTATGTATCGTGGTACTAAAGTATCACGCGCGTAGGTATTTGTGAATACTAGAGACGGTGCGATATCGCGCTGTGAATATTCGTGCTTATCATGCCAGTCTTTCTGACAGAAATCGCTCGAGTTAGAAGACATCGAAACTTACATACATATATATCGCGGTAAAATATTTCAATTCGCTCCCACTGTCGTTGCGTTTTCGTTAAAACACTCTTCCGATATAGGTTAAACATATTACTTCGTAAAATTTAATATGAAATTTTCAAATTCTACGTATTATTGCGTATTTGGGTTGAGCCTAACAATAGCGATTAGCAGTTGCCCCGCCATTTGAGTATATACCAGACATTCGTCGTTGATTTCATATGATAAATCAACATTACTGCCCAATAAAGATAACAATAATGATGTGCGAGATATGTACGGGAAACGGAATGGATAAACAAAAGTATCGAGAGTTCATAAGAAACTTTAACTCCGATCGAATCGCTATATTTATCATTTCTTCGTGTATTTCGTGCTAATGTACCTGCTGTCGTTTCCATTTAGAAATAAATACCTCAAATTTGGAGGTACCAGGCGATACATGCTTAAGAGTGTAAAGACGTCGCAATAACGGGCTGACATTTACACGCAAAAAATTCCTTCTCTCTTGATCCTTTTTTCTTGCCACAACAGGCGACTCGGGCGAACCGTAGAACCGTGACACGCAGCAGGTACGTCTCACTTCTCGGACTCGGTTTTAAGAAGCTTTTGAAATTCGATACCGACACGTGGCCCATTGATTCGTCTCGTGTTCGAGTCCTCATAATCGAATCCTATGAAACGTGTCGATCCGTCGGTCGATGAATTACGACTTTTGCTTCGATACCTGCGACTCTAATGGATGGTTCCAACGATCGGGCGATTAGATTTGTACGTTTCACTGCCGATGCGATAATACGTCTCTGAACTATTACAAAGTCTGCACAACAACCAATCAATACAAACAGCCAGAAATTATTGCATAATAGTATCAATCAATTGCAACAAAGAAGCAAAGTCGCAATTTCGAAAAATTTGTAGTTCAAGTTTACAAAACATTTACAAAAAGACGATTATATATACAACAAATAAGCAAACGTCTTCGGTTAATAAAATTTTTCATAATGATCAATATATATCGAACATTAGGACGGAGTAACGTGCGGTGTCATAAATAATCATTCTTCTTCAAAGACTTTCATCAAACTTAACGTTCGATGTCCTACAAGCCGTAATCGTCATTTAACGGCGATACCGATAAGAAATCTGACGTTTCACTCTTCTTTTTTTCTCGGAATTACGTAGACGCAAAAACATTCCTCTGCGGAGACGCAAACGAGCGAGCGAGACGAGGGAGTTTCTATCGGAAGTCGTGATGAAAAATTACCTCGATAACGGTCGAACACAATAAACCGATCTCCCCACTCTTACGTCGCCCAGTGCCGACTGAGACTAATTGCGGCTCCGATTACAATGTCCTCGGCTATTATTATAATTTATAACTCGATTGTTGCGCGACTGGTTATCGGCGATGTGACGTGCGCATGCCTTTTCAAGCCAACGAACGAAATTCCCGAAAGACGCATCGATCAAATTGATGATTAAATTAAATTACTATCCAAGCCTAATCACTTGTTTTGTACTGCTTCGACAGAAAAAGTCCTGTCAAAGATACAAATATATACAATTATTAAACAAAAATGTTATGAATAAAACATCCCAATCGCAAAGGGACAAAAATATGACTACTGCTAGCTTGGATAAGAATGATTGTGTGAGATTTCACTCGGATACTTTCAGCTTTTATACGAAACGCGCGCGTGACGTCTACTTTAGCACTACTGTGCGGTGATTGATTGCGAATTCTTTCTGGTCATCCTGATTGTTTCGTTTTGGCATTAAACATAGTTCGTAATTAGACCGTAATTGATATGTTCAACGCTAAATAATGACGTGAAAGCGAACTGTAACGAGGAAAATAGCGTTTGGATTGCGACATCCATCGGCGACATTAACGACGATTGCACGAGCCGTCGGTGATTGACCTCTTTGTGGGCATCACACGTTACACTACCGTGATAACGAAACCGATTCAACTAGGGTGGAAAAAACGCACGGGGGAGCTCGGTTTTGTCCGACGAATCGACCTAATTACGCAATCGTCTACATCATATATACGGTCCACCGTTGAACGGCTAAATGCGGCGTTATCGGTTTCGTGGGTATCGGAGGGATCGTCGAGATGGACATCAACGGAGCCGTTAAACGCGGTCGCATCAAAGGTTTTTATCGTTGTCCCTCGTACGGTGCTTCCCTCGCTTTCTCGATGGAGCAAAAAAAAAAAGCAAACGGAAATTATCACCGTCGCATTGTCTGCGAGCGTGATAGAGAGGTCTTTCGGGGTCATGTTGCAAGAGCACGATGCCGGGATGCAGCGT